TTTTCATTAAAACAAGAATTTAAATTGTATTAATTTGGATTTATCTGCCTTTGCTGGATTTGCTAGGTTTCGAGACCGACAATTTTGAAACCATTTTTTTTTCGATGCCGCTTAACCCTGCCTGAAGATACTTTTCCCATTCATTTAACGTTAATTTTTTTCTTGTTTATAATATTCAATAACTTACCAGGATGGGTAGAGCTATACGAGTCGGTAGCAACATATCTTCATCTGCAGCCAGCAGGCATCGATTCCTTGGAAGATATTTCAACAACCTGGAAAGATTAATCATCTGAAGCTTTTCAAGTACTTTCAATCGTAAAAACTTTTTAGATAAAATTTGAATAACATAAATAAGCTTTTTAAAATAATAATTGCCTTACCTAAAAATCGTTTTTAGTTACATGTAAAAATATGCATACCCTGCTGCAAAAGACGGGTAATATCGAATGATTGCGGATAAAAAAAAACAAGCAAGTTTTATGTCCATTTATATCTGTTTTCATTCGACATATCTGATTTACCCTCTATGTCGGTTTTCATCTAAAATTGCGGGTATAAATATTAACCGCGAAAGTCGGTTTTAGATATTTAGTTTTATGACTGCTTTCGTCTGGTTTCATCCGCAAAAACCAGTATTTGGGTTTATATCTGCATTCACCCGGTTTTATCTGCAAATACTGGCTTTCGTCTGTTTTTTTTTTCGGTTTTATCTGCGTTTGCCTTCATTTACTTCTTTGCCTGCTTACGTCAGGTTTCATCCGCTATTATCTGATTTTATCCGGTTTCGACGAAGAATTTAAATCCGCAATCATCCGCCATTTTCAGCAGGGTAACAACTTAAATCCATATTTTTAATTTTTATATTGATTTTCATGTTCTTTAGTATGTTAATTCTCTTTCTTTATCGTTAAGTCTAGCTTAACAATCTGAAAATCAAGACTTAGTGAAAGCCACTGAGTTAGCAGATGCTGCAAAAAATATATTAACACTTGAAAAAAAAAGCGATAGAAAATTTCAGACAAATTGTTTAAACAATTACTTTGTTTTTTTGAAGAATGTGACCTAGATCTCCAAAAACCAAGAATAGCTCGAAGATAAGCGCAACGCTGCAGCGCGCTGCAAACGTCACGACCGAAAATCAGTGGCGGCTGGTGGATTTTGGGTATACCAATATTTCAGTTATTAGACATGGGACCCACACCAAATTTATAATAGTTTATAATGACATTAAATAGACAAGTTCGGCGCAAACAGAATTTAAATTGAAGTTTGCGAAAAAAATTTAGTTTTTCCTGTCGCCTCACCCCCCTCCGGGCCCCCCTATTTGAGATAATTCAAATTAAAGTGGTGCAATTTATTATCTACTATAATTTATCGACAAATTAAAAATTTTATTTAAAAAATCCAAATATTACAGGTTTTATACCGTTTTAAATATTTTTTTATTTTAGTAAAATAAATAATAAAAATTTAATAACTGAGATATTGGTATACATAAAATCCACCAGCCGCCACTGCCAAAAATATTGAGGACTATGATCGAATAGGTATAAATATATTTATCTACATTCCCTACATAGATTTATTCTAACTTCGAAAGGTTTTATCCAGCATGGCTTATCTTTTTTCTGATAACATGAAAAATTTATATAATGAATGTAGTACCAAACTATTCTAAACAGTTTTGCACAGTGGCGGCTGGTGGATTTTGGGCAAACCCATATCTCAGTTATTAGACATGGGACCCACATCAAATTTATATGAGTTTACAATTATATAGACAAGTTCTGCGCAAGCAGAATTTAAATTGAAGTTTGCAAAAAAAGTTAGTTTTTAAGTGTGCCCCCCCCAGCCTCCTGCTCCCCCAAACTAAGATAATTTAAATTAAAGTGGTACAATATTTAATAATTCACTGCAGTTTATCGACAAATTTCAAATTTTATTCAAGAATTACAGGTTTTATACCATTTTAAATTTTTATTATTTCTTTTACTAAATTAAAAAAAAATAGAAATGTATAAAATCTGTAATACTTGAATTTTATTTAATAAAATTTGAAATTTGGCGATAAACTTCAGTGAATTAAATATTGTACCACTTTAATTTGAATTATCTTAATTTGGGGGGCAGGAGGCTGGGGGGCACACTTAAAAACAAACTTTTTTCGCAAACTTTAATTTGAATTCTGCTTGGGCAGAACTTGTCTATATAATGTCATTATAAACTCATATAAATTTGATGTGGGTCCCATGTCTAATAACTGAGATATGGATGTGTCCAAAATCCACCTGCCGCCACTGGTTTTGCATGATCCGCTTCCAGAAATATTTTTAAGTAAATTCCAACTTTGAAGAAAGCGCATTGTGGATATGCAAATTCGGAAGCCCTTAATATTTAAAGCACCGATGCTTTTTCTAACGGCAGCAAATAAACGGTAGTTTTCTACATTGCGTCGTCTAAAATCGTACCTGAGATCGACAATGAAAGAAGATCGTCTAAGTGGACTCGCCTCTTTAAATATACATCGCGATTTAAAAGTAAACGTTAAGTCAGTATTGAACGAATTATTATTTTTCCGCCCTCGGCGAATCAAATTATTTAACTAAAAATGAAAAATTGTATTAAGACATTAGTTAAACAAACGTCATTAGTCATTCCCGGGTTAATAACAAAATTTTATAATTTTTTTTACATTAAATAAACAGTTTCTTCTGCAACAATTATTATTTTAAATGTATATATATATATATATTTTCTCATGGGGGGGTTATCATCAAATTGTTTAAATATATATATATATATATATATATATATATATATATATATATATATATATATATATTTAAACAATTTGATGATAACCCCCCCATGAGAAAATCCTGCGCACGGCCATGAATTGTCGTGATAGTATTTAAGTGATAACAAGTGACAATTGTTAAAAACAAAATATTACTCTGCATGTCCAAAAAATGCCTTATATCAATGCTGTTAAATAGGTATACATTACATAATTATAGGTATTACCGTGTATAATGCCTGCCACGACCTTCTAAAAACTGCACGATTTTTTAATTTTGTAATTTAATTCCTAACGAAATATCACCCTGTATATTGGTATACAAATAAATTAGATTCGACCGGAAATGTTGTCCCTAAAGTTCCTTTATTCAGAGCGCTCCACATCTGTTAAGAACGATAGGGGAATTCCTATACAGATTTCGGTTTAACGGTTAAAACTATTTTACAAAATTTGACACATTAAACATGTATAACCTATTTATTAAAAAATTCTGCAATTTGAATACATGTTTTATATTACCCAATACTTTAAGGAATAAAAAATGCTTGGTAAATGAACAAAAAAATACATTAAGATTAAATATTTATTTTTAATGTAGCGGTAGTTTTTGGAAAGTCTAGGAAAGTTAATATTTAGTACCAATATTAAAAAAGTATACTTTAAAAATAAGCAAATTCCATTTTAATTTGTGTTTTAAAACAAATTAAAAAAGATAAACAAATATGATATGGATATATATATATAATATTTGTATTAAATTTTATTTAATTTTACTGAAATAAAAGTTGCTAAATGAAAACAACGTTCAAAGGGCAGAAAAATATATATATAAAATATATAAAATGCATATATTAAATATATTTTAAACTATTTATTATTTTTACGCATCTGTGTGTAATTAAAATAAAAAACTACTTGGTTTAAATTCAAGGTCATAACAACCAAGTAAGGATAAGGTCAATAATAATTACACTGCACAAGTCAAAAATTCCGTATTCCATGCAATGCCTCATTTATTTTGTTTATTTTTTGTATAAGAAACGATGTAAAGTTTATGTATTTCTTTAATGTGAATATTTTGGCCTGAGCTCTGTGTCGATTTTTTACTAAAATTTTAATTTTGAAGACATTCAAATTTATTTATTTTTCTCTCTAGGAGAAATTTATTTCATTTGAGATATGAAAGCCTACAATCAGTGTGCTACAAAATTGAGGATAATCTTTTAGGTATCAAATATAAAAAACCGCTCCTTGTAAATTTTTTGATTTTCTTACTTTCGAATTTTCATGTTGAGATCTCAAGTAAATACAAAAAATTATAAAGGGGCGGGTTTTTGAATTTAATACCCAAAATATCATATTTAATATTTTTATAAAAATCTAAAACCTGCAGCACATTGATTGGAGGTTTTCATATGGAGAGGCTTATTTGAATAAATTTATTTTAGTAGTAGTTTTTCATCTAAAATTTTAAGTTTAGTTAAGAGCTTTATTTAACTAAAAGAACTTTTTTTTAAATTAATCTAAAATAAACCTAAAATCTACTAAAATAAAGAAAAATGCAAAAATATGTAAATTTGATAGATGAAAACCTGTTTCTATCTATCTCTAAAATGTCAGAATAAATAAATTTATAAGGTTAAAAATATCATAGCAGATTGTGAAGCCTATTTTAGTTAAAAATCTACTTTGGCGTATAGGGCTCAGGCCATAATATTCACATAAAAAATGTAAAAGAAGCCCATTTAAGGTACTACGTGATTTATTATACCAAAATTAAGTGGAATACGGAAAAAACGACCTAGTGTTATTAGTAGATTTTATTTAAATTACTTATATTATATTAAAGTTATAAACAGTAAAAAATATTAGTTTTATTTTAAATACTTATTCTTTTTTTAACCATTTAAAAATATGTCTTAGAATTAGAGTTTGTATAAATTACGTTTAATATGTTGTAGGATTTACGCCTTAAATTTAAATAATTTTATTGTCTCATTGTTTGTGCATGTGTTTAAATCGAAGTATATATATGTATATAAAAAAACTGCCCTTTTTGTTTTTAATATACAAATTCTAAATGTTTGTTTTTCAAATTGTATTATTGGTACCCTATTGTAACATTTAAATTGTTGTCGAATAACAGCGCCCCCTTTAACTTGATTTAAATTTAACTCCGAACTATTTTAAGAACACATGTTAGTATAATCTTCGCGTAACACAAATAAGTACTATACCTAATAAGAACCGGGAAGGGGAATCAATACATAGAAAAACGTTTTTATTTGCACTATAAAAATAAAAGCGTATCATTCGTCATTCAGCTGACAAAAAAATATGTTCTCACGTGTATGCAGTAGGCATTAGTGGTTGTGTTATGGTCTTCAAGTTATTTTAATAACCAAATGTGATATATTTTTTATTGTGTGTTGTTAAAAAAGAATATTTACAAAAATGAAAAACGAAGATAGTTGTTTTCAAAGTATTTCCTTATGTGGTAAGATCTATTTTTCTTTTAGTAGTTTCCAAACACAAATAAAAGATAAACTTGAATTTTAAAAGGTTATCAAACAGCGCACTTTGATATTTTTGATTTTTTACTGTTAATATTTTTCTATTTGTTCAGCTTAGTAAAGTATAATTTATTTATATTAAACAATAACGTTTTATTAACTATTTAACTACTAAAACATGTGTGTAATATTACTCTTTTTTTAATGATGTCAACACGTGAAAAACTTTTAGTAAAACTGGGACAATACTGGGAATTTGTTGTGTTTAAAATATAAAAATTTAAAATATCATTCTATTTATAAACGAATTAAATTTATGAATTTTAATAAAAACTTGTTATGTATTGGATATAAAAATACCTTCCTATTATTTAATTATTCACAATGGAAAAATGTGCGAATAAATTTTAAAATATTAAATAATTTTTATATTACTAGAAACAATTACGTATACCTAGATTGTAAAAGTTTTATATAGGGTGTCGATTTATTAATTGGAATAGTAAATAGTTTTTAATGTTTTAAACGTCTTAAGCCAATTAAATTAACAAAAATAATTAGCATTGTTTTAAAAGTTGTGTTATCTTTTTATTTTTTTTGACAAATGCTGTCTTACATGAATTGAAAGTTTTAAAATATTATTTTTTATGATAATATTTATTTTTTAATAATAAATAATTACAATATTTTTTTAAACCTTGTCCCCTTGAATAAGTTTATAAACAAAATACACGTGGGTTTACAAGCTGATAAGTTTTTCCGGTTTTGATAAAATATGTTTTTATCATATTAAGGTAGTTGTCGTGTAACACGCGTTATAAAATTATTATAGAATATAAATAACCGATTATTTAAGTATTATGAACGAAATTTGTTTTTAATCATAACATATTGTACATTTAAATATTCCCAGGAATAAAGAAGTTATAACGATTTTTGGTTTTGACAGGTTTTAAGTTTTTTTAAATTATTTTTTCCCAATTTTTAAATGCAATTTTAAAAGACTTGTAATCAGGCAACTTTTTTCTAATTTAATCCACCTTGTAGCTCTTCAAATAAAAGATACCCATATATATATATAGATAGGATAGAAGGATACTTGATGCACCTTGTATATACTTACCTGATGCAGTAAATTTTTTTAAAGCGGTTATTACCAAATTTTGAAATAATAATTTATTAAAAATAACGCCAATTTTGTCGATAATGCGACGACTACTTTAAAAAGCACACATCTTATATGTCCAGCTGTTTTTCATGGACACAATTTTATTTAAGTAATTTTAATTTGTTATTACTAGATAAAGAAAATAATTCAGCTGTTAAATTACGAATAACGCTTAGGCTTTTAGCACTTTTCGTATTAAATTAAACAATGCATTTTGTCATTTTATTGTGCTTGTTTGAGTCAAATAGGGCCGATGAGAGGGGGGCAGACGGGACAAATTCCTCTGGCCCCTATAGGCTTTGGGGCCCAAAATAGGCAGCTGTCAAATGCGTAATCCTGGGTTGAGTTTTTACCGGTTTCCCAATAAACATTGGGAATCTAAATAAAGAAATATATTGCATACAGTCCCAGTAAAATATCAATTTTACCCATGACACAAGGTATCCTTGTCTCATGATTATACCTACCCAGAAAGCTCAAACGTCCTCAGGACGCCCTTGATCAGCCTTTAGTCCCAGACTGAGATAATCCTATAAGGATGTTTATTAAATTGCAAAGGGACTTGGATTTAATATTAAATTGGTGTGATTTAAATAAATTAAAATTAAATATTTCCAAATGCAATGTTCTAACTATTACAAAAAAGGTGACACCAATTGTCTATAATTATTTTATTAATAAAATACATTTAAAAAGGGTGGATAAATTTAAAGATCTTGGCGTTATATGGGACTCTGAGCTTTCCGTTGATTCACATATAATCCATATGGCTAACGCTTGTCTGAAAACTCTTGGCTTTATTTTTCGTAACACTCGTGAATTTGTGGATCTTACAGCAATTAAAAAGTTATATTACTTGAATATTGTACTTTAGTATGGTCACCTTTTTATAGAGTCCAGAAGAAATTTTTACGTTACCTTGAATACAAAGAGACTTCTGAATTTGATTATTTAGGACATTATTGGGATTTACTTAATGCATATGACTGAAAAAAGAAGAATTAATATAGTTGTTATATTTTTATAAAAGTTGTTAAATAACAAAATTGATAGTTCAGCCTTTTTATCTAAGATTCCATTCAGACTCTGAATTTCAGAGTACCACAAAAAGCCACTTTTATCTGCCAAAATCCAGTACTAATATGTTTATTATGTCACCTTTGTTTTAATTGCGTTAGTATGGAAACAAAGTTGATATGATTTTAGATTTTTTTCATTGCAGTTATAATAGTTTATTAAGAATTCTACCTAATATTATTATTTAGTATTCATATCTTATTTTTTTGTGTTTTATTTTTTTTATATTTACATTCTCACCTATCCTGTAGTTGGGCACCAGCCTGTTGGATTTGTAATTGAAATAAATAAATAAATAAATAAAGGGCGTTCATAGGTCGACCTTTGAGATATCCCGGGGATGTCCTTGAACCAGCCCTAATGTCCCAGAATGGAATTAAAATATTAATTAATTAAAAATATTAATTTTATTTACCTAGTAGGTTAAATGGCCAATATAAAACATAATTGCTACAAAAAAACAAAGCTAATTAACAAAGTTAATTAACAAAATTAACAGAAGTTAAAATAATTTTTATTTATGCAAAAGCATTTTAAAATGCCAATGATGCGGCTTGCATAATTAATATAATATCCTGAAATTCTTGTTATCAAATATCAACTATTTGAATATTCGAAAAATGATCTTTTTAAAATTAATTATTAAATTTATTATTAATTTGTTTGTTAAAAATTAAAAGTTGATTGTGTGGGGTAACTAAAATAGGAAATATAATACATCGTTGTATACACAATATAAAGGGTTTTAAACATTAAATATAAATTATATAAAATAGGATTTTGCCATCTCAAACCCGTATTTTTGATGCTGGTAACACTTAAACTAAGAAGTGGCAGGTGGCAACCCTAGTTGCAAATCTAGTAGGCGGAGGAATACACAGATTAAATAAAAATGTAGATAAACGTGTATGTTATTTATTTCCCAAAAATAACAAAGTAATATCGACTTTTGCTTTTGGCAGATTTTTAGTTTTTTCGAAATATTTTGAAAAGAAGAGAAATGCCATTGTAAAAGGCATGTCAATGCAACTTTTCTCTAATTGAACTAACTGTAACTTCAACTGCTTAACCATCGCATGGCAAGTTAGACACCCTGTATAGGATGTTTCAAAAAACTAAAAAAATAATTTAAGAACATTTAAAATAATAGCAATTTTCTTATTAGAGACCGGAATATTAGCCCTGAATTAATGGGGGCTTTAGGAGCTATAGCCCTGGGATTCGTAATTAAAAGAAGCTCCGAATTAACAAAAAGTTGTTTTTTTATAAAAAACTTTAAGTGCCCCTTAAATTTTATCTTAATCTCTTAGGTAAGTAAGGCTTCCTAAAGTGGACCCTGAATTTACCAAGGGTAAGAATTTTATAACATTTTTTATGTCCCTAGAGGCGATTACTTCACATAGGTACATTTAATAAAAAATATTCACTTGGGACATTCCATAAAAATGCGGACATGATGAGGAAAATCCCAAATTAATGTATATGGTTTTATTTCTAGGCAACGACATTACTAAATTTTTTTGTTATATAAATTAAATTCAAGAAGTTTCAATTTGGCCAGCGTCATAACGTCTACTTCCGTCAGCCTTTTGTCCGGTACTTCATCAAATCTCCTTAAACAACAAAGTGAATTTTTAAGTAGCGAAGTTGTCGTAGCTATAAAAAATATTTAAGGAAAGACATCAGTCGTCCATCTCCTAGACTAAAAGATTTCAAAACAGTTTGCGAAAAAGGAAAACCCAAAGAAAAAATCCAAATAAGGCATTTAAGTACTACACTTTCTGAAACACATGCTTTGTTTGTTAGAGAATATGGAGATGTCTTAGAAAAGAGCATATAGATATAGACCAACAAATATCTTTTTGAGTAGCAAACTTCACCATAACGTGTGTCTATGTAGGTAGCACGAAAACAACAAATGTAATGCATAGCTTTTCTCCAACATGTCCTTGCTATAACCACGATTTTATAGAGTTAGCAATATGTGAAATCCCAACTAAAAAGTGTTAAAAATTTACTTGTGGTACTTGCAAGGACATATTAAATACAAACTTAGAGCAATATGTTAATGCTTACAATAATTCCGAAGTTAAATCGTGGGTATGGCAAGACAGCGAAGGGAGTTATGTTAAGTTTTACATTCTGGACAAGCTTTGGAACACATACTTAGTATGTCTAAAACTTTTTTTAAACATTGCAATGGCAAAAGGTGTTAAGCTGATGCATATCAGAATGAAAGGCTATATCGACTACCCACTTTGATCCTCAAGAAGATTTTTTGAAATTTTTACATGTACCTATAGCACAAGACTAAATTCAAAGCTTTTCTGGACCTAACCCCAGGTCAGCTTGTTATTGTAACTAATAATCGAAACCACAATAGCGATTTATATGGATTGGATTATAAAATAACTGCCAGCCTGTATTACAAAAGGCCACATTTGTTTAGACGGACTAGCATCACAATTTAACCCATAGTGGAGACTATAAAAATTATTTAGCAACGCAGTGGGAAACACATATTTTGGAGAAAGAATTGAACCTTCACCTCGCCAAAGTTTTTTGTTTTGAGTGCGTTCCACCAACTTCAAATACCGACAGACAGCTGTTTCGACCTATATTTGGTCTCATCAGTGTCGGGCAACTTGGTGTAGTGGAACACACTCAAAACAAAGGACAACTTAAGCTTATATACTAAGCTAGTAAGCCAACAGAGGCGAGATGTAAGAACATCATGTGATCCACACCGTCTAACGACATGGCCTTTGCCGCAATCGGTACATACTATGCAACCAAGACTGCATACGGCAAATTGTATCACAGATACTAATATGGCCTAAAGGAATCTAGAATTAGCCCAATCGGGCTAAACATTCAATTTTCTTAGTTTCTTCAAGAAACTTTCTGGACCCATTACTGGTAATATTCATAAGAAAGAATTGAACCTTCACCTCGCCAAAGTTTTTTGTTTTGAATGATTATTTAATTGTTTACGAAGAACAATTTTTTAAATACAATTATTAATGTTAGTTAAACTTAGTTACTTAAACAAAGTATTGTCGTTAAATTGCCAAATAATATATCTAATTGTAACGCGTGGTACCATGGAATGTCCCACTTGTTTATTTATCAAACTTAGTACTTTCTTCAGAAAATATCTAAAATGCATTATTAAAAGTCAGTTTTGTAAACCAATTATAAATAATAAAATAATTTTTAATTAACTATCCTCTGGGCCTTGATAAATATTTTAAAAAGTCGTGTCGGGTTTATAATATAAATTATGACACATATTATGACAAACAAAAAATTAGTGGATTTAAGTTGCTTAATTCCAGTTATTTATTTTGTTCGAGCGCGCTTTTTCCATGCTCTCATGGATTTTACGTTTCAAATTATTCAATAAAGGTATCCCATGGATAAAAATGCTAAAATTATATATTTTTAACTTTATATGACTGTATTTTATTTGTTAAGGAGTTACATTTTAATAAAAACATAATAAAAATGTGTTTGGTTCAACGCGCAACCTCTATATGTTGTGAGCTGAAAAAAAATTCAATCGATTTTGTTTTCTTTTTTTAGGAATGAAATAATTGAATTGTCGCGCATTTTTTAAGTTTAATCTGTCAAGTAACGAGGGTTTAATTTCTCTTAATTTTTGTATTAATTTTTGGTGCAAAATTCAAAATGAATTTATAATAATAATCATCTTTATTGCAAAGTTTCATATTTACTCTAAAACTATAAATTCTTAAAAATGGAATGACGTCACATATATATCATATTACAGATTGGTTTCTAAATAATCATTTATACAATATGGCTCTAACTCAAGAAAAACAATTTTAATTTTCACTTTAAATACATCTATATCCATTTATTCAGGCCAATACACAAACATAAGTCGTTAACGTTTACTAGAATTAGTGTTTATCGTTATATTTAATCGGATTGATTGGTCAGATCGGCCGATAACCACTGATTCTAGTGGCTAACGTTAACAACTCATGTTAGTGAATTGGCCTGATTGAATTAAACCTCCTTTTTCACTAATTGTCAAAGTTAAAATGAGTTACTAATAACTTGTCAAATTATATTATTCAAATAGGTAGTAAAAGTTTCACTAATATAAAAACTTATGACACTATTGAGGATTGAACTCGGGTCGGTTGTCAAGCGGATGCTTAACGACGACTTTACGACACCTTTTTAAATATTGCTAATTATATTTTTAAAATTTTAAAGTGTATTTTTTGTAGTGCTGTTTTGAGCTTTACATTATATTTATATATATAACAATAGTGGCTGCATGACCCAAACGGCTAATGAAAGTTTCTTTTTAATCTCAGAAATAGTCAATTGGAGACTATTTAGATTAGTTAAACTTTAAATATTTAAATAATAAAAAAACTATTTAAAAAGCAAAAATTACTTTTTTATTAGTAAACAATGCATTTACTAATGCCAAATAGTGAAATCCTGACTATTTCATTTTACGAGAGTCGGTAAACGTAAAACGTTTGTTTAAAATGTATAAAAGCATTTTAATACTTAGAACAAACAATTTAAAAAAGTATATAATTAAAAAAAATCCTTCAAAGGAAGTAAAATAATAATATTATTACTAGCTTTTTTCATACTTGTATATTTTAGCATTTATGTAACATTATGAACATACTGATACTATACTAATATATTCAATGATTTCTTTTTAGGAAAGAAAATCCCTTTCCGTTTTTGGATAGGAGTTATGATTTTTATGACAACATTTGTAAACTATGTAATGAGATCAAATATGTCGGTCAGCATTTTAGCCATGACCAAACACCACAAAAATCAAAGCCATATGGGATCATGCCTAGCAAACTCAACTTTTGACAATTTGACCACGCCATTAACAACATTGGCACCAGTGATCCCAAAATTCGAAGATGAAGGTATATTTGAGACCAGAGAGTACACGCAAAGACAGCAGTCCCAAATTTTGGCAGCGTATGGATATGGTTATGTGGCTTCCTCAGTGCTTGGTGGATTTTTGTCTGAATATTTTGGACCTTGGAAAACAGTGTTTTACTCAAATTTAGGCATGGTTATATTTACTGTGCTATGTGTGCCTGCTGCTTTAATACATTGGACGGCTCTTTTTGCAACTAGAGTTCTTATAGGAGCCTTGGGGGTAAGAAATACAGTGTCCAAAAAAGATTCGATTCTTAAGTTATATTGCTCGAGAACCGTTAGGAGTGAAAGTGTCGGACTGATTGCATAAGAAAGCATGTTTCTTAAAATATTAGTAGCTTTTGCATATCTTTATTTACACGACATTAACCAAGCTCCATCACTTGTATTAATAAGATGCTGGATAATAAATTTGAGGCTAAAGACGATGTTTCCAATAAAACACAGCAAGGCCCTTCAATGTCTACAATGTTAGATTTCCTCTGTGCACGGTGGAAAAAATATATTTGTGTTTATTGCCATTAAACTAATTATTGTGTATTTCTAGATATTAAGCATAACACCACTGAGTTTGATTTAGCAAACCACTAAGTACGATTTAAAGAACCGGTTGTCTAAATCGTACCTTTTGCAGCATTGATCCATTATTTTTTTAGTGTTGCTATTATTGTTTAGCATTAATATTTTATTGGTACCTATGAATAAATAGGTACATTAATTCATTTTCATTTTTGATTTCCGATTATTAGTAGTAGAACATTAACCATAATAAAAACTTTTAAAAGTGGTACGATTTAAGCTACTCTACCCTATAGTAAATAAAGTGACTAGAGCAGGACTTTGTATTGTATGCTTCCAAAGCCAGTTAAATTTCTTTATTTGCCCCTTTTTCCATTATGACACGAAAATAGCCCTTATTGAACCATAGTTTTTTAACGGTAATTAATATTGTCCTTACAATATTAATTCCTAGAAAAATAGCCATGGTGCAATTGTGAAGCTGGTTCAATATAAGCAACTTAAACCCAAATAGAACTTGAATTATATCGTATTATATGCTTTTAAAACTCTCAAGCATGCTTTTAAAACTCTCAAGCATGCATAAAAAATATACTATTGCAATTTTATCTTTGTAGGGTGTTGTGTATCCAGCTGTTCAAGTCCTTATTTCACGTTGGGCGCCAAAAGAAGAAAAAGGGAAATTTTTAAGCGCCATGTTGGGTAACACGTTAGGAACAGCCATTGCATTTCCAGTTATTGGCTTGATAAGTCAGTACATGAACTGGGCATGGGGATTTTTCTTCATAGGGATTGTTGTTAGTTTGTACTTGATTGCAATTTTTTTTATTTTATCAGATGGTCCCGATAAAAGTACCCTTATATCTGAAGAAGAGAAGGATTATCTCGCAGTTGCAGTGCCTCCTCCAAAAGAAAAGGTAAATTAATATTTGTATCATTAAATTAACTATGTACAAAATGCATATTTTTTTCTGTGAACTGGATTTTTTTTTAGTTAGTGGCACCCTACTACCAAATTTTTACATCAGTTCCATTTTATGGACTTCTTGGAGCCCATGTTGCAAATTTATATGGTTTATTCGTCCTTATTATCAGTGTACCAAAATTCTTTAAAGAATATCTTGGACAAGATCTTAAACAATCTGGTATTTTATCAGCGATGCCCCAGCTGTTTAGATTGGTATCTGGAATATTATTTGGAATAATTGGAGATAAATTGGAGTCTAAGAATTATATATCAGTAACTGCACTCAGGAAGAGTTTTATTCTATTTTGTGAGTATGACAAAGAAATAAAATTGTAGTAAAAATAAAACATGTTTTCTGTATATTTTAGCTCATATTATTCCAGGAGTTTGTATGATTTGCATGCAATTCGTTGGATGTAATCAATTGGCTGCAACTGCACTATTAGTGTTGACTCAAGCTTTTAATGGAGCTGTAGTATGCACTAACCTTCGCAACCCACAAGATTTGGCTCCCAATTTTGCTGGTACCATTTTTGGTATTATTAGTCTTATTGCTGGATGCACGCAGTTTATAGTACCAGTGGTAACTGGTGAATTACTTGGTGATAATGTAAGTTTTAAATATCTTCCAAAGTTCAAAAAATATTTGGTGTGTTAATGTAACTTTCATGTTAAAATGTCTAAATGTATCCACAGTTCAGCCACCACCAACAATTTTTAACAATAAAGTTAAAACGTTTTTTTTTTTTGTTATAGCCTAATCCAGGATTGGACAGATGGAAATGGGTTTTCCTAATTGGAGGAGGTAATTACATACTGGGTGGACTTATATTTATTTTATTGGCATCTGGTAAAAAACAGTCGTGGAACGAGCCCAAAGAAACCAAAGCGTCTATTACATAGTTTTTTAATATTTAATTATAATTATTTTTTTTTAACTAAGTTAGGTATCTCAGGACTATAATTATGTTTATTTTTTATATAAAAAATAAAAATGGATATTATTTAAAATTTTGTACATATTATTTAAGTAGTTTATTTGTATTATTTTATTTTTTTAAGCGTACCTACAAATAATGTTTTAATGAAATGCTACATAGTTATATCAAATAGTAAGGATAGTAAGCCTTAGGCTATATGTCCAAGTAAAATTAATGTCAACATAATTGTATATTTTTCAACTATATGGTAAAGTGTGGGATTTCAGGCGAGCTACGCCTCGTGCAACAATTCTTCGAGTGGCGAAAACACTTTTCATCGAGATTATTATGTACTGCTATATATTTTTTTAGAAACGTTCGAAGTTTAGAAAATGTCGGACGGATGTCAAATTTTGAAACAGTAAACAAAAATTTACATTTAAATCAGAATTTTTATAAAATTAAATCCATAAACAATATGTTAATATTTTGAGTATGAGTATAAGAATAAGAGACTTATAACCGGCCCCATTGCCTCATCGCTCCCGGGCCCCGCATAGGCCTCTGTTTCCTTGCGCCGATTTTCTTTCGCCACCAGCAACGGCGCGGCTTCACACGTGTTTGCTGGTTGCGATGTCCATTGCGTCCCGTACTGCCCCCTAATTAGGGCTCGAGGGCGAAATGCCAATAGTTTTAGTAGCCATTCCCGGGTTCGCCGAGCCGATGCTATACGCTCAGTAGGGTCATGAAGGAGGTAGGACTGGAGGGATAGATATTTTGGTGTTTGGGGGACAATTATGCCGACTCAAATCTAAGTACGACGCGGTACCCCCTAGACCAGGCAGTTAGTATTACTCCAAACATTTGGGATTAGTGTATGGAGTTCGGGAGTTGTTATTTTGCTGCAGGAGCCTACATCTTGGTCTACTTTTTTGTCGTTATTGTTCGTGTCCAAGTAGGATTGTTCCTGCACATGTGTCTTCAGTCTTGAGGCCGAAACCATCAATAGATAGTTCAGTAGTTGGAAATGTAACTTGTAGCTTTTGGTTTGATTAGTATGCTGTTTTTACTTTGTTTGGGTTTTCATGATTTATTGAGTGTTAGTTTATATTTTAAGTGTCAAATGTTTATTATTGGTCTCGTTTGGGTTAAAATTAACATTGTTTTGTTGGGGCCGTCCTTTAAGTTACTGGGTTTTATGCCTTACGCATTTGTTGTTGACAGAATTATTGTCCTACTCAGCTTTGGTGTATCACCGCGATAGTTCGATTGGGAATTTTTGTTTTTTGTCTTTTTTCTTTATTATTTATGGTATTTGGTTAGTATTGTCTTTCTAATGTTTCTATTGTTACTGATATTTATTGTTTTTTTTTCTAGAATTTAAGCAGTGTGCCTTCCTTAGGGTTTTAAAGGTATCTGTCGTGTTTAATTTTGCAAATTATGTGTTAGGTCATGCATATGCTTAAGGATACTTATCAATTTTTGCGGATGGCCACTTCCTCTCTTGTTTGACTTCTTTTGTTTGTCTAGTGAAAAGCGCTTCCAATGACAGGTGGTAGTACCACTCAGAAGCTGAAACTTGTCACTTAACTCTTTCTTATCACTTAACACTTCAATCTTTATTGACCGTTACACTATTTTAGTTTGCACTATGAAAATTGTTTGTTGGTTTTGTTCTCTTTTGTTTGTCCAGTAAAAAGCGTCCAGTTGAGGGGTGGAATGACCTCCCAAAAGCTCGCTTGTCACTTTCTTATCACTTAACTCTTAACTTAACTTAGTTGTTTCACTATAATTGGTTTGCACTTATAAAAAATTATTTGTTGGTTTTAAACTTTAAACTTTTAGGTTTTAGGAGCTCTCGCTGCTACAATGCGTCTTGCCTTGTCAAGTGCTGGAACCTGACTGTACAATATTTTAATATTTTTATAAATACATTTTAAAAGTAAGTATTGTAAAATAAAAATTGTCACAAGTTATACTTTTAAAGCGACAAAACAGTTTACCAAACGAGGCAAAGCCAAGTTTGGTAATGTTTGCGAGTAATAAAGTAATTTTAACGGGTTGAACAGTTTACTTTTTTTACGACCTCTCCTTTGACAATATAACAAACTTAAGTAAATACTAATACTAAGCCCCCAAGCAAATAATCTGTCAAAATTACACTCCAAGTGATAAAATGAAATATAACACCACGGCAAATGTTAAATTGCGACAAATAAATAAAATAAATTCTTACTCTAATAAAGCTCATTAATTTAGTAACCCAAGGTCCTTTTGAGGTGTTGTATTCATGGGTAAGTATTAAAATGAAAATAATAAATACAGTAAATAAAAGACAATAAATTACGTTTAAACTCAGGTCCAAGACCTGGAAGGGTCGTGTTTATTTTTGTTTATAATTATCTCTCATAAACCTTCCAAAATGAAGGATTATTGAAATGAGTTAAACATATGAAACACTTAAAATTTATAACAAACAATAATGTAATTTATTTGGATAAAGCAACAACAGTAACCATAAAGAAAGAAAGAAAACTCTGAAAGAAAGGGACATCCTACAAACTACACAATATCTCCATACTGCGACCACAATCCACAATAAAATAAATAAATAAATATATACAATTTGATAAACAATACATCATACGAGAGTTCTGCTCTCGTTAATGCTCCTGGTTTTAATTTTTTGTTTGTTGGGTAAAAGTAGATTGAGTCTTAGTCTCTATTTTTGAATTTTAAATGTAACTTTATCCGTCAAGAATTTTATATCCGCCATCTGTACAAAGTTTTTAAAATTATTAAATGTTGAATGTGCCAGACCTCTACACACCTCTTAAAATTTATATGATAATAATTCAGATGGGCATTTTATGTCAGGAGACCACGGCCAGTGGTCATAAATTAAATGTCGCTATCGCACAACCACTGCTGCTGCTCACTCTAAATGTAATACTTAATAATTAAATATGACCGTATGATATAATCAATGGATTTTTACCAGTCATATTTAATTATTTAATGTCGACATAAATGTGAATCTGCGAGTCAATTAATTAAATCCTATATTCAAGAAAGTCGATATCAAGTACAACTCTAACATTTTAATTAGATAAAATCAAGTACAACCCTGCCCTTTTAATTAGATAAAATCAAGTATATAATGTTTATAATTTAGAATCGTAATGCGAGATTGTTCAAACGTAAATTAACATTATTTCGATGATTAACGTCATTTATTAAACAGCAACCATCATGGCGGAATAGATAGATCGATGACGCCAAGTCAATTGATCGTATATTTATTTTTACACAAGGCATTTTTGTAAACTTATTATAAATAAATTGTTCGGGAATATTTATACTACAATTATTAGTTATTAAAATATACACAACTATAGATGTATACAAATCTAGACCGCTTTTTCCTTCACACACTTTTCACGAGTTTTTTTTTTATCTCGTCCACGATACATAAAAACCAGTAGGCTGGTTATGAAACGAAAACTCGTCGACTCCGCTCAAACAGTTTTTCGATTTCTTTTCAGTTTTTTCCGAAAGTATTGTGTTCTTTAAATTATAAGCCACGCACGATTGTTTTGCAACGTTTTTCGTAAAGTTTTTACTACATTTATTGAACAGCAATAACTATTTACAAGGCATTTATAAGCCAGGCACGGGTGTTTTATACCAGGTTATTTATTAAGTATGTATTATGTTTGTTGGACTATTTGAAATATACCGGGCTGTGCTGTAGCAGACAGCAGAAATATGTACAGAAACACCCAACATAACCTAATAATAAATATTTTCCAAAAATAAAGATCTGGCAGCACAGTGGATAAATGCATGCATGCAAGAAAAAGGTTGAAATGAAAATAAAAAAACCGATAAGTAAAGGAATTTTTGGTATACCCAAGTTTTTGTTACTTCGGTATTGTGAATCATCTAACTGTGACCGTCACAGTGTGACGTTTCCAGGAAAAGTAATCAGCACAAATGGGAATATTACCCCGATGGACTTTTATTTATGGGGCTGCTAACAAAATGAAGTCTACAATAAAAGACATGGCTGACCTGTACAACAAAATTTATGTTACTATAGCCGCTATTAATCGAAATACACTATTGAGAGTTTGCAGAAACTAATTAAATAATTATAATAATAATATTATATCGTATTACACTTGTAGCCAATCACGCCTAATATAAAAAAGTGTGGTTACCTGTTTAAATATTTTTTGACATTAAAACAACATTTTTGTCAGATTAAAATAAAGAAATATACACATTAGAAAGAGATAGACTATTAACCAGATTGAATAACCAGCTTGCCGAGGTAGTTTTATGGTCTAGTAAATGTGACGTCATAGTTATAGTCAAGATTTTGGAACGCACTCTAAACGCGAAAATACATTAACTATTAACCAAGGTTAAGTTTAATAACCATAGTATTACATAGTATTTACGCGAAAAAATGCCTTTCAAAGGGACAAAATACAGATAATAAAAACTACTAAGAAGAAAATAATAAGAAGCTTAGAAATAGATCTTATTCCTCCTATTGTTGTCAGAAGCCAAAACTGACAGTTAATAATAATAACATTTTTCTACCAATAGGGATAGTATATATAAATATTTATAATACACTGCTTGACTTTATTTTTAAGTTCATGTCAAAATAGTATAATTTGAATGTCAGGGTAGTGTCAAGTTAAATGATTATTAAATCATTAATTAAATTAAATCAGTTATTTTTAATGGCCAATAGTTAAATATAGGTATTTTTAATGAACTCCAAATAGGATTTTGTAAAATTAATGTGAACGAACAACATCAAAATGAGTAAGTCCTGCATTTGTTAGGTTTTATGCTTCGACATTCTTTGGCATAATTTAATTTTATGTATCAACTCTTCCTTTATCAGGTATAATTTGAATTGGATAAAATATCGTTGCATTTTCTTTTCTTTAAGAGATACCTTATCGTTTTTGGATTGCCGTAATGATATTCATGACCACTTTTACAAACTACATGATGCGTTCAAATATGTCCGTAAGTATTTTTGCCATGCAGTACAAAAAGGAGGGAGCACAAGGGCAATGTTCAGAGGATGGACAAGTGACTACCGCAGCGCCCACGACTACTATGGATCCGAATGCCACAACCACTACGACCGAGAAGCCTGACGAAGGATTGTTTCACAAGTTTACATACAGTCAGATGGAACAAGCGCAAATTTTAGCAGGGTAAGGGTATATGGTAGTATAAATATCGAAACCACTTCTTTTATTTATAAACCTCTTATGGCCAGATCAGTTAAATAAACTGACAAGTTAAAAGGTAACAGGAGATTAGTGTCCAAAATCTTGCACCGTGATTTTTTACTATGGTTTAAAATTTAACTAGTGATCTAGGAAATTTGACAAAAAAATGGAAAGATTGATGCTAATAACTAACTTCACACTTATCTGTGACGTAAATATATTTTGATGTTAGGAGTTCGATTCTTTATAATATGTGATTCGATTCTATTTCGGCTGTGTTACGTAATTTACTGCCATTACTGTCAGTAATTTTACTGTCAGTAGCGGAAAAGGACCGTTCTGTAATTTATTCAGTACTGACGCACAGTGAAATTGGAACGCGCCTCAGTAGCAGCAGAAAGTGACAATGGTTACGCAAGGTTATGATTTGTGATTTACTGACAATTGACAAACTTTACTTTCGGCACAGCAGAGAACATAAATAAAAAATAAATATAACAGTTATAAGAAATGTAATTTTTGGTTTAATGCAGAGAAATATGGAAAATTTAATGTTATCGTCGTCCGCGTCGAAGAATGTATATAGGAATAGGAAATATAAAATTTCACTGACACCACAACAACAAGCCAAATACCAAAAATTACTCTTAAATTCGTCGGCTGAATACAAATATATAACATTTTGTAGGTACTACCTATAGGTAGTAGGTACTATAGTAGGTAGTTTCATATTCTGGGTCTTCGTCTGCGTACTCCCCGTCGACCTGCCTTCGTCACTGCTGCTTGTACTTTCAAGTAATATTTTATCAATAAATATTGAAATAATTAGTCCTATAGGTATTCACCAAATACCATTATATGATATAATTTATATCCTTAACTTTATTTGACAGCTATTTTTTGTTTAAAAGTTTGGTTATGTGTTTTACTGGAGCCACAGCACCTCTCTGTCCCCAGTTGTTTCAGTTAAATTAATCTGCCGTACATTTATAAAAGGGTAGTATTTACCACTGAGCTTAGTAACTGAACGTGCACGCCGAAATCCATGGATTTCGGAATGCGTTTTCAGTACCTACCGACAGTACTGACAGTAAATTACGGAACATAGCCTTCATGTACGACCGATTCAGTTGATGGAAAGAGAGAATAATATGGATACAGATCCTGAAAAAAAAGGGGGCGCTCATAAAATTTTTCAGAAAATGAAAAAAATCATTTAATTAATTTTGTGGATACAAGGGTATCATTGAAAACCAAGAGACAGATAGGGCTAAAACCGGCTAAAACAATTAGAGCAGGAAATTAACAATAAAAAAGATGAAAAAGAAATGAATCTTTCGGATTTAAAAATTTTAGAAGAAAAAGAAAAACTTAATATATTATAATAATAAACAAGAAGTGACTATTTATTTTATTTTAATTTTAAATAGGTAAGTATAAATTAAAAAATTATTCACATTACATTTCTGTGGGTAAAAGGCATAAGGGGATAAGTCAAAAAAAGCAATTTTTCGGTAGAGACTTAAACGTGTTCGCATTAATTCAGGAAATATATTTATGGTTAGCGAGCATACCCTTTTGCTAGCATATGAAATGTGCTGGCAAAAGGATATACCCGCCAACCATAAATGTATTTCCTAAATTAATGCGAACATGTTTAAGGCACTACTAAAAAGTTGATTGTTTTGACTTATCCCCTTATGCCTTTTATCCACAGATTTTATAAATTTGCAAAATAATCTTGTATTAATTGATTTTGAAACATAATGCGATCTTGTCGATGAGTAACAACAGGGTACTCCAGTTCATGGCATTAATATCATCAGGCAATGGCGGCTGTGGTTTATTCATGTCTCTAGCAATATTATGTAGTACAGCTACAGCTGGAATAATGGACAAAACTGTATCTGGTTTTGATCTTAAGTCATATGCCAACACTGGAAACATTCTTTTTCAAATTCCAAATACTCTTTCTATTATATTTCTGGTAGTGACTCATTATAGAGTTGCTGACCTCTATACCTATAACTATATTTATTGGATTTGCTAAAGATGTCAATAAATAATATCTTTGGAAAAAAAGATCTTGAATACCGATGACTAGTACTTTTGAAGTTATAAATCGTTAACGGTGGATTAAAGTAATTTAAACTACCAAAATTGGGGGTTTATTTTAACAGTAGTTTAGAGGTATTTAAACAAGGATTAATTTACGGTGCAAGCCGGTTATAAAAAATAAACCTGTGTTAAAAATTAAACCACTGTTAAACTTACGGTGCAAGTGGCCATTAATGAAACAGCGAAAACTAAACCAACAACAATTTACCAGTACCTATACATTAAGATTCTAATACAAAGAAGGGTGGCCAAGAATTTAAACTATGACTGACAATATTTTTTTTGAATTTTTAACAGGTACGGGTACGGTTACGTGGCAACCTGCTTACTTGGAGGTTTTTTGGCAGAATATTATGGACCATGGAAAGTTATATTTTTTTCAACATTGGCTAGTATAGTACTTACTGTGGTATGTGTGCCGGCCGCATACCTTCATTGGACTGCTCTGTTAGTTGCCAGGATTTTAATTGGTGCTTTGGGGGTAATTTAATACATATATTTATAGGGTGATCTATAACAAACTTTGAGAGAATATAGAATACGTAAAAATAAGACGAAAAGTCCTAACCAACGTATATCCAAAAATGCCGGCTAATTACTGTATACAGTAACCAACTCGTGTTATTCACGTCGCATTTTGGTTGGTATTTAACGAGTTTTAAAGTAACGGAATATTGACGTGAAATAGACGTTTTGAAAAATCGAATGTTTTAACAAAAATGAAATTTCTATGTTTGTTAAAAATATTACATAAACATAAAAAAAAACTTCCCATACAGTTCTTTCAGTCGAAATCAAGAAGGTACTTACCACAGGAATTCTGAGTTTTAAGTTTTAAAAATACGTTTGATACACGTAAAATTTAGACGAAATATGTACCTATTTAGACGAAATATGTACCTATAGGTACTTATAAGTAGCAAACAGAAAATGATGAACGACGTTTAAAGCTTAATTTTTATGTATCCGTTTGTCCGTCATCTGTCAGTTTTTCAATAAAATCGTCCGATAAGAAATGTTCTAATTTTCATGTATACGTTTTTTAATGACGTTTAACGGATTGATTTTGCGACAAATAGAAATTATGTGTCAGTATATTCACTTACTAAATTTACCTAATGCTTAATTGTCATAGTTACAATTATGTCAACAATTGTAACTTTAACAGTTAGCTGTCTAATAAATTTAAAGGTAGGTAAATATACCTTATAAAAAGAATATACTAGCCCTAATATACATTAAAATATATAGTTTTAAAAAAGCAGGTCCTTTTAGTTCTACATTTAATTTTTTTTTGTTTGTCCTTTCTTTTTTTCCGTTATTCTTATTAAATAAAAACTTAACAGTAAAACATAATTCACATAACGAACGTAATATTTCCGTTTTACAATCTTATTGAAAAAATATGAAAATATTTGAAAATAAATTATCTTAAAATAACGTTAGGCGTCAAAAACAGATGTGAAGTGACGGATGAGTTAAAATTATTTAACCTTTCTCTGTCGGACGTACGAAGTTGAAACTTGACGGACCGATAAAATGTCATAATTTTCGAATTATAATTCTACCAATAAGAGCGCTCCCGGATGAACGGACTGACGGACAAACGGATACATGAAAATTAAGCTTAAGACGTAAAAATAAACGTCAAAATAAAACGTAAAAATGACGTATTTTTCTCGCCATTATATGACCACTTATTTCATACCAGAATCAGACGAATATGCGACGTCATCAAAATGTTTCAAAATTCGCCAATATGTAGGCAACCCATGCATACCTCTCGCCTCTGTAGCACAATATATAGTCCTATAAACGTGAAATGCCTTAACCCGTAACCGGTACTGTGGTGTCTGGGAGACACTCATCAACGAACAAAGCCCTGTCCCTCCCTCACCTTTTGTTTTAAAAATCTGTCGCTTCCAATACTTTTAAGTTGAGCAGTTATCAATATGCTCTCAGACTTTGAACAAGTTGGATTGTCAAACGGACAAATTATTACAAGTCAAAGTGTTGAGGTGTCTAGTACCGTTTACGTAATTTTTATAAAACAATTAATTCGTTATTGATTCGCAACAAGGGCCTTCTAAAAGTGTCCAAAGTGATAAGAAGAGCTTTAAGGAAACTGTAATGTAGTGGTTTTATGAAATCTACAGCGATATAAGTGATATAGATGTATACTACATAACCATTATAGTGATTATGTTGTTGAAGATAATCACAGCAGCGATTCAGGACTTGTCTGTGAAGAGTCTATAGAAAATAATTTTATAGGGTCAGATAGTGAAGAATTTGAAATTTTTTAAGAATTTGAAAAAAAAACAAAAAGTTACTATGGAAAAAATAATTGTAAAAATTAGCTATAGTTTGAAGCAGTTATTTTTGCTAATAAAAAAAGATATATTTAAATTTTTTTTCTTTATGTTATTTTTTAAGGTATATTCTTCGAAATAAAGATCGTTTTATTTTGTTTGGTTTAATATTTTTTATAGTTTAATCACAAAGTTTGCACTACTGCACTTGTAACATGTACAAATGTTTTGATTAAAACCTATTTGTTTAAATTTTTCTTTTATTCAGGTATTATTTTTGGTGATATTCTAACTTTATATATATTTCCTAGTATCCCCAAAGCCTCAGATAAAAAAAATAATATAAATTATAATTTTAAAAGGCAGGTGTCTCTCAGACCCCTCAGTACCGTTTATGACCTGAAAGTCGTACAGTACCGGTTACGGGTTAAGCTGCTAAGTAAGAATTTCTTACTAAGGCAAAATTACTGACCATACCGCTTCTGCTTTTAAGTTTTGAAGGGACACAGCTGGTCCTGTGGCCCACTCTACGAAAAGTAAGCAGTGGGCCGCACTATTTACTTTTAGCAAAAGCTTTTTATAAAATCTAACATTTAATGTTTTTGAGAAATTATTCAACAACCAAAACACGTCAATTTTATACCTTAAAGACGTCTAAAATGGACGTAAAGACGTATTAAAGATATCTTTAAGATTCGTCTTAACCACGTTAAGGGGAACGTTTTTTAACGTCTAACTAACACGTTTTAAGTATGTCTACAAAATACGTCATAAAAATGTGACATTCCAACGTTGATAACTCGTATTATATACCTAAAAAAACACGTCTTTTGGTTGAAATATTACCAAAATGTGTTTTTCACGCTTTTCTGTTTATATAATATATATATATATATATATTATACAGTAGTTTTTATACAAAAAAGTTGGTTCTCTTAATACATTGCTCCACTGACTATTTTTTGAGATATTTAAATTAAAAAAACTGTCCGAATTGTTTTATTTTCAATGATTTTTGGAATTTAAATTACTAAAGAATAAAATAAAATCAAAAAAATAATTATTTGGCCAGCGGCGTGCAAATTAATTAATTAATTTTTAACTTCAAGGCGATTAGCTTGCAGTTTTGAACATACATTTTGTATGATTCTTCGTGTTATTTTTTACGCATTCTATGTACTCGAAGTTTGTTATAATAGTTATAGATTACCCTGTATATAAATATATTTAAGTTATACAGGGTGTGCCAACAAAAATGAAAATGTATAGCCAAATGCATTACTGAATATTATTTAGGGTTTGATATATCCAGCGGTTCAGATACTTATTAATAATTGGGCGCCAAAAAATGAAAAAGGAAAATTCGTTAGTGCCACTTTGGGAAATAATTTGGGCACGGTAGTGACATTTGCGTCCGTGGGAGCCATAAGTCAAGCCATAAATTGGGCATGGGGTTTCTTTTTTGTCGGAGCATTTGTAACGTGTTACCTGATTTTAATTTTTTTCTTGCTGTCCGACTCACCGACCAAAAGCAAATTGGTATCATCAGAGGAAAAGGAGTATTTGGCAACAATGATACCCCCACCTAAAACTAAGGTAATATTTAATTTGTTTATTTACAATCTATAGATACACTAGTTTTAGTAAATTCGTCAGGTTATAAATGTTTAGCTTTTTTAATTTGTTTTACTTTAAAATCAGTCAATCTTATCTACTAAAACTTTGTAAAGTTGCCTAGTTGATTAATAAAATTTGTTTATTTATCCATATACATAATATATACAGGGTGCACCAATTATCCTTCTATGGGTATTTTTTTATTTGAAGAAGCTACAAGGTCGGTTAAATTAGAGAAAAGTTATGTAATTACAAGTCTTTTGACATGAAATTTACGAATTTAAAAAAAAGCCAGCGGTTCTTAAAATATTAAAAAAAACTAAAAATATTTCTTAGCCAAAAATGTATAACTTTGATATTTCTGGGCATTTTGAAACAAAGAAATTATAATCTACATATTTATCCAATTTATTAACTACTATGTTTTGAGTACCATCACCATCTTACAGAACTTATGTAGTTGATACATCGTTGGATTCCACGTAAAATTTTAATACGGCGGCCATAGGAAAAACAAAAGATGGTGGTGGTATCTCAAAATCTAGTAGGCGAAAAAAATCACAAATTGTATAAAAATGTAAATAATAATGTATGTTTACATGTAAAAGGTACTTTTTTCAAAATTCCCTGGAATAACGAAATTACAACGATTTTTGGTTTTGACAGATTTCTATTTTTTTAAATTCTTTAAGAACCGCTGATTTTTTATACAATTTTTAAATTCCATTTTAATAAACTTTGTAGCTTTTCAAATGAAAAAGAACCCATACATTAAAGGATACTTGTGCATATGAGCTAATATGAGTATGAGTATAAGGACGTATGGTAGGCCCCATCGGCAACCCCTTACTGATCTTCCAGGGTTATTTTACCCCCTTTCGGTTCTCAAACGTATCCCGCCACTGCACAGCGTTACCTGTGTTTGGTGGATCCTAATTTTTACCCGGAAGGTAAATCTTTCCTAGGAGATCGTGGATGACAGTGTCGATGGTTAAGACCACTCCCGGATTTTTGTCGCCGGGTCGGACCATACGCCAGATTTAGGCTAGTGGAGTATAGGACAAGGAGGGTCAATACAGTTTTTGGGGCCTTGAACTGACCAAAACTAAGTACAATCCGGACTCCCCCTCAACCAGGGTTTTAGTAATAACCCCATTCATTTGGGGTTTATGAATTGGGACTTGGTTATATGCTGCTAGGGTATATCCTTGCTGGTTTTGAAGTACTTCCTGTTCGTCTGTGTCCTCTCTGTCCGGGTCATATTCCCAGCTTGTTGATTATCTATAGCGTTGCTCCCATATAAACAATACTATCGCTTACAACGTTTGAGGAGTCAGCCAAATTATGGTGCCCTTAATGTCTTAGTAATCTACAGATGTTTATTTCTTTAGGATGGGTTTCCTTTGCTTAGTGTTTATCAGAAATTGAGTGATTAATGGCTTCTTATGTGTGCCCTTGTGTTTATAGTTTTTTGACTGGTTGATCTTTATTTGAACTGTTTTGCGACTAATTATTTTACCTGGTGGATTCTTTGTTAGTTAAAGATTGAGGATTTTGTATTAAAATTAGTATTATTATTTGGAAATTATATGGTCATGCAATTTTGGTAATTTTTATTTATGTAGAATTGTACTTCAGGTGAATTTTCAGGTAGATGTGATGTAATTGTTCCTTAAACCCGACCGCCCACTTTAGCACGTGTGGTAGTCCAGGAGATTATTCGTTGAAACTGATCGTCTCACTCACACCTTTTATCCAGGTTAAACACTTGAAAACTTAATTCAGGAGTAGGTACCACACGCAATTTGCACTGATTTTGCACTTGGATCTGGTATATCACGGGTAGAATCGTTATTAATTTTGTTTTTTGATTTTTTGAACACCTTTAGCGGTGATGGAACTATGGAAGTACGAGCGCGTTAAGGGAGACCTTAACCAAGCGACCGCTCGCTACAAGGTGCCGTGCATCACTGCACCCTGTATAATATAATATGTTTAAAAAAATCGATTTTTTATGAAAACTAGTGATATTATTGAATGTAAAAATACTTAAATAGAACAATTTAGAAGCAAAGATTTAAATGGCTTTAAGTTTTGTAAACAAAAACCCAAAAAAGTTAATTCATTATACATAGTTAAATAATAAAGAGTGCCCTAGGCCCTAGGGCCCTCTTCATTATTTAACTATGTATAATGAGAGGCCTAGGGGTTCTATTAATTTGTTATATTCTTTGTTTCAGTTGGTCGCTCCATACCTTAAAATATTTACTTCACTACCATTTTATGCATTGCTATTTTCACAATTTTGCAATTTATATGGTCTCTTCGTAAATATTGTCAGCGTACCCAAATTCTTTAGAGATTATCTAAATCAGGATATAAGACGTTCTGGTTTTTTATCGGCTTTACCTCCACTAACTAGAATGTTTGCTGGATTAGGGTTCGGAGCTGTTGGAGATTATATCGAGAAGCATAGAGAAAATTCATCTACCGCTGTACGAAAATCATTTTGTATATTTTGTAAGTTTACATTTTTTTTCTACCATTCTTAGTTTTAAGGTTTGGCTAATTATTCCTAAAGGGAAAATCTAAGAATCACAGTTCTTTGATATAAGAATAAAAAAGTACATGGATATTAACTTTATTTTCTTATTAACTATTAACTTGACTATTTCCCTCGTCTAAATTTCCACCAATCACAAATGCGCAATTTTGAATTACAAATGGTTTCTAGGTGAAAAAACTGTGAGACAGCACCTGTCAGCAGTTTATTCGAGTTTACCCGCGGCAAAACTTGACAGCTGTTGTCACCAAAAATTGCAATTTATATTTTAATTGTTAACTGTTACTCATGAAATAGTCTTGGCAAATACCATTTGGGCATCTAATTTTTCCTGTGAAAAAAATCGAAAAAACACAATGCTAAGTAATATTTTTTAACAAAATGCATTCGTGCAGGTGCAAAAATCCTCCTCTTCGACTCGGATTTTTGTTGCCACCAGCACTCATGCTTTTTGTTAAAATATTACTTAGCAACGTGTTTTTTCGATTCTTTTCGGAAAAATTAAATGCCCTTATGATATTACTTACGATAAAACAATTATCAACTATTAACTTGATAAGTTCCTAGTCGGAATACATCAATACCTACTGTTTATAAAATTAGGCAATATATAACTATTTAAAAAATGTTACCTGAAGCTATATCCACTCAATTCCACATAACATAAACATATATGTGAAGGGCTCCGAGAAAACAAACCTTATATCCAAAAAATGTACTCACACACCTCAAAGTCCCACCATGTGACCACGTACGGAACGCAGTCTTTTGAAAATTTGGCATTTAAGGCTTTTCAGGTTATGTATCTGTCAAAGTATAGTCAACGAAAGAAATAATATTATGTTTAGGCGTTAAAAATGCATAAATCTTTATAACATTACAATAACAATGAATGGTTTAAGAATTTAAGAATATAAATAGTGCATTTAATGAAATTCTAAAGTGTATGGTGCCAAATAAGTAATATTTTTGAGCATTTGATCCAAATATCTGGTTTTCTCCATAAAATAATTTTAACTAAACAGCATTTATTAAAAAAAATCTAGCTTCTTTATTATGGAATAAGAATATCTGTTTTAAAGGTAGGTTAATATATTATAACAAAAATATCATCTACTTTTATAATTTTAAGATTAGAAAAATTTATTTTGACCAAAATAAATAAGTATTTTGGATTATTTAAAAGACTATAATATGGTATTTAAAAATGTGGTAGTTTTTCTTACCTAGCTTAAAGTGTACCTAAGTAAAGTTTTGTCAATACAAGCAGTTAAAAAGCTTCGACTGAATTTAATCTACTTCGAAATATCATTATAACTTTAAAAATTTTAATTAATCACATGTCATTGGAGTATTAAATATTTTCACATTGCAAGTTTCTCTAAAAATTGTTTGTTTTCTTATAATCTTATTTAAAGTAGGTATGCCGAGGTATGCACAAGTTGTCATTAGAAGAATAAAAGCTTCAATTTAATTTGAACCATATTCAACAATTATTTAGTATACCTATATTTATTTATGACCATATTAACACACTCTTTCAAATAATCCACTTATTTATTTTGGTCAAAATAGATTTTTCTAACCTTAAAATACAAAATTAGATTATATTTTTTGTGCTAATACATTAACCTACCTTTGATACAGATATTCTTATTTCATAATAGAGAAGTTAGATTTTTTTAATAAATGCTGTTTAGTTAAAACTTTTTTATGGAGAAATGTAGACCCAATGCACAAAAATATCAATTATATTGCACCTTACACTTTGGAATTTCATTAAATGCAGTATTTATATTCCTAAATTTTTAAACCAACCATTGTTATTGTGATACTATAAAGATTTATTAAATTTTAACGCTTAAACATAAGCGGTAACACTATAAATATTATTTCTTTCATTGAGTATACTTTGACAGATACATAACCTCAAAAGACTGCGTTCCGTACGTGGTCACGTGGTAGAACTTTGAGGTGTGGAGCATATTACATCAGGATTATGATTGTTTTAAGTAGATTGGTACAATATCTTTAGAAAAATTCAATAATGATTTGTTTATTTTAAATTAAATTAAATTTTGATGGTGCTACGAATTTCCAAAGTCGAGCGTTACTACACAAACGCCTATGCTGCGCGAACTTCAATCGCCTGTAAAATTTTTGGTTTGTTTTCTTAGAGCGCGTTAGAATTCTATTAATAGTATATTCTGTAACAAGTCCGAAGGCGAGTTTGACGGTTTCACGACACAAAGTTTATATACAAAAGTGATCTTTTAGTTCCACCCTTACTTCCTTAGAAGTCCCAACTGTATGGCTTGAGTGGGTTAGGGGTAGAAACGGACCGCGGGCTTAAAGGCCCCTCCGAAGGACAAATATACAATAGGACAAACACAAATAAACAGTCATACCCCTGGTGGGATTCGAACCCACGACCTCTCGGCTTGTAGTCAGCAGCACTAACCACTAGTCATGCAATTGCAAACGATTTTAGACCATACTTTTTCTGCGTTTCCAAAAAATACCATAGACAAATAATTTAATTGGAAGAAAGTGAGGTTGGATCGGTCTAAATTTGTAAGATATTAAACACAAGTGTTTATTCCGTCATCAGATGATAGAATAATTCATTCTGTAATACTTTCAGGAATATATGTCATTCCACATTAAAAAGTGATATTAGAACGGTCATATTCCGTAATAGGAGTAGAAAAAAGATTTTAAAGTGGTTCTATATTTATTTGAGCATTTTTGAGATAAAAACCGTGATGGAACTAACTATGAAAACGCCGATAATTAATGAGGATATAACTCCAAATAGTGGCAATTTCGGGCCACCAGATTTTCCAGCGTAAAGTTTATTTAATTTTTGTTTTTGCCTAGAATTTACCATAGCTTAAATCACAACATATGTCATCTGTCAAACTGAACTGTATAATTGGTTTTTTGGTTTTTTTAGTTTTGAAAAATCTGTTGGCCTGGAGAAATTCGTCTTTCAGATAATCATGATCAAGTAATCAATTTCATAAACAAAGCAAATTAATCTTTCAATTAGTTTTTACTTTTTTGAAATACAAATTTTGTTCCAACCAAGTCGATAATAGGTTACACTAAAACTATAAATTCCACTTTATACCCACCAAATCTCCAGCCTAGTTGGTAACCAAATAGTGGTAATATAAAAAAATAAAACGAAAAATTTAGTTTTTCCCAATGTTTTTTTTTAGTTAGCAAATTGGTGTTAAACCATAGTTTTTGAGCTTGCCAACAATACATAGATGTTTGCTGTAAATAATATCCTAGTGCAAACAGTAGCTATTAAATCTCACACACAAAAGTCTCATCACGTGACTTTGATACAAATAAATTATTTGAAATAATTAAGGTTAATTTTCTGTCAGTGTTAACTAATTTCGTCTTATTTTCCAAAATAATACTATAGATTTATTTGTTTTGTTCTAAATTAAGACCATTATACATTCAATTACATATATTGCAATATTTTTAGAAAATAGGACGAAATTAGCTTTACACAGACAGAAAATTAAACTTAAATTATTTGTATTAAAGTCATGTGATTGGACTTTCTTGTGCGAAACAAAGGATCTGAGTGAATCAAGTTGATTTCGCCAGGGTCTTTTCCTAACAAGTTTGCGAATTTTTGAAACACCAGTAAACATCAACGCGTAATATGCATATATATATATGAGTAATACAGTATGACACAAATGTATGCCAATCTATGGCCGGCTTTAAACTATACAGGGTGTCCCAAAAGTCAACGATATCCTTTGTAGGACTAATAGACCAACTCATGACTAAGCAGAAAATCAAAATATGACCTTAGTAAAAAATCGTTAGTTTTTGAGATATAGTCATTTTTATGAATTTTGTAAAACTTGACACCTTAGAACAGATTTTCGAGTGCCACAGCTACAAAATGTACTATTATTTTAATTTTGAACTGTAATTAATAACAGTCCTATTCAGGCAAAATAAAATATAATCTAAGAATATAAGTAGAATGTTGTAGTTGTGCCCCTTGAAAAACTGATTTTATGTGTCAAGTTTCACAAAATTCATAAAAATGCCAATATCTTAAAACTAATGATTTTTTACTAAGGTCATGTTTTGATATTCTGATTAGTCATGAGCTGATCTATTTGTCCTTCAAAGGATATCGTTGACTTTTTGGACACACTGTATAAGATTGAGACTTTTTATCCTATCCATGTACAGTAAATCTCATAATAATAATTCTTATTCTTATTATTTTAGCTCATATCCTACCAGGAATTACTTTGATATGCATTATGTTTGTAGAATGCAACTGGATATTTGCTACGGGCTTATTGGTATTGAGTCAAGGCTTTAACGGTGGCGCAGTTTGCACGATATTGCGAAATTCTCAAGATCTAGCGCCAAACTTTTCAGGCACCCTTTATGGCATCATAAGTTTTACTGGCGGGACTACTCAATTTATAGTACCTTTAGTCATGGGCGCAGTACTAGGAACAGAAGTAATGCTTTTTATACCCCTCTTCTCCAAATATTTTTAAACGCGAAATTCATTTTGGTTGGGAGTATTTAAATTATTGCAAACAGAACCTCTTCGCTGTGTCACAGTTAGTAATAATTTATTACCAACATTTTGCGCGTGATAGCGACGTACTCGGTTAAATGAATATACTACACCAACATCAAAATTTAAATGCGTAAAAATAGAGCTACTGTGTAATATTTTTTCTTTTAGTAAATGTTAGTTTGTTTAGTATTTTGTTGCATTATTTTTTTTAATTATATATTTTTTGATAAATGCTAGTTGGTTTATTTTTTTAAATACTAAACAAGTTAACTAGAAGAAAATAAATTTAAACAAAAATAATGCAAGTTACATTATTCTACAAAACACCAAAGAGCAATTCCACGTTACTCGGTAATTTTTATCGCGTCCGTAATAATCAAAAGTTAGTAATAACAAGTACCGTAATTATTGTGCTTATAACCTTAAGCTATAATATATTATGCTATTACAAGCAGGCGCGTACGCAGGATTGGGTCCTGGGGGGGGGGGCAAAGCCTGGTAAGTGAACTAATAAGACATTATTTTTTTCTACGACCACTATGTAAAAGTCACTTTTCATGATGGCATCGTTGCTTAGAAAATGAATCTTTTCTTTGGCAAGGCAAAACACGAATGTAAACTGACATTTCTGTGTGAAAAGTGACAGGTCTGTGTGAAAAGAAATTGAAAGCATCGTTTGACATTCAGCTGTCAAAAAAGTTTTTGGGTTATTTTGTTTTGTATTTATAAATAATAAAAAATAAAAAGGTCGCAGAAAAAACATTGTGTTATACTTGTGAGAAAAGCTTTCTTCAAGCTCGTGTTAATACACACACGGCCTAACGGCCCCGTGAGCAACTTAAAAACTCGCATGAAAAAGTCGCTTTTCAACACTTCGACCCATGCAACTCAAAAAACGTGGGTTTTGACTTACTATATGGCATCAACAGACTTTTTCAAGCTCTATTTGGTGGAAGATTACAGTAACTCAGACATGAAACGATAGGCAACCAGTGAACAACTTCCCTGTATAGTAAGTAATAATCCACATTCCTACAGGAAAAAACTATATTAAGTTGAGTTACTCTAGTCTACAATCAAAACTGAGTTACAATAGTCTTCGTTGCATGGGTCGACTTGTAAAACAAATAACTATTACATTATGTATTGCAAAAAAATAAAACAAATAAACTCTTAACACAGCACACAGTTAACATTTTTGTTTTATGCAAAAATATTTGGTATAAAATATTTGGCACTTTTCCACATGACTTAAACTAAATAAAAATAAATATTGAAAAAATTACAAAATAATGTCAATCCTTTTTTTATTTTTTGGAGTTCATTTAAGACCTCTTCCACAGAAATTGTTATATTAAGATGAACATATAAAAGAGCCAGGCCATTCATCCTCTCTTCTCTCAAAGTATTCCTAAGATAAGTCTTAAGCAATTTTAGTGCTTCTCTAAGCTGTTGCAGTGCTTACCGGAATAGTAGAGGATCCCAAGTAAGGTCGACCTTCACTCATCTGCTTACCAGATGAAAATTATATTTTATCAAATAAAATATGTTTCTGAACATAAACCAATAGGGTTGCCATAAAAAATATGATCAAGGCTAGCTATAATAAATAAAAAATTAAAAACAAATAATTAATTTTTTAAATTTCACCGACTTGCTTGCCAAATGAACGAAATTCCAATGGAAAGCATACAACATACAGAATATGTAACAGCTAGGTTGCCTACCTTTTTCTGGTCCCTATTACCTGGTTGCTTTGTACAGGGTGATCCCCTATAATGTCGCCCCCCTTTAACTTTTTTATTTTAAGTGTCCCAAAAAATTTAAAAGTTTGGTTATGTAGGTACTAAAAAATACTTTTTTTCTACGTATAAAGAAAATTGGAAAATTGATCAGTATACAGGGAAAAACAAAAAGTTTATTTTTTTATTTTCAGAAATAAGTCAAAAACAAAAGAATTCTGTTATTTTTGACTTGTTTCTGCAAATCGCTAAAATGGACATGTCCCTTTTTGAATAAACGCTCCTCAGTTATTTTTATGTAATTAAAGATTATACAACATAATAATAATCAAAATAGCTACATCTTTAAATATGTTTTTCTACTCCCACCTTTAAAACGCACTTTATCGTACATGTTTGCATGACACTAAGTGACCTTTTAAATACACAAATAGCAACAGGTTTTTAGTCACGGGCTGAAGTTAGTTTTAAGTTGTCAAGTGTCATACAATCGTTAAAATAAAGTGCCTTTCTTGTAAAATATTACTAAATGTGAAAATTATTTTATTATCTCAATACAAAAATACAAAAATATTAAATAGTTTATCAACGCCAATATTTGAAAAGTTTATATGAACATTGTACTGACCTTTTAAGTTCGCCGGCAGTAAACTATAACTTAAATTGGGACACGGACTCTGCTGTAAAGTCCTCATAAAACATTTCCTTGTGAAAAACTGTCAATTTTTAAGATACATTTTGATTTATAACCTTTATAATTGTGTTTATAAAATGTAAAAATGTGACATTTGACAGTTTCCCCTGTTGTTTCATAGATGGCGCTCTATACAAATTTTTGATTTAAATCATTTTAAGATAATAATAAGTATTTGTCGTAGAAAAAGTATAGTATGCACCTTGTTTAAAAACTTTTCTATACACTCATTAACTTAAGCACTCGCTCGCAAGCTCGCTCGTGCCTAAATTAAATTCGTGTATAAAATGGCGTTTATCAAATTTGATACATAAACTCTAGTAATAATGAATTTAGTAACAATGGGATAAAATTTTTAGTTTTTTTAATTCGGCATTGTACTAAGGATACTGCGTTTCGTCTGGAGGGGGGGCAATTGCCCCCATTGCCCCCCCTGCGTACGCGCCTGATTACAAGCATAATAAACATGTTTGCAATAGTAACTAAAATAGTAGGTATATTTAATTTAATTACGGTAGCTTTTACTCACAATTTTTTACTATTAAGGACGCTACAAAAATTGCCGAGTAACCGGAATTGCTCTTTGGTAGATTTTGATATATGGAAGAGATTTTTGAAATCAGCTTCAAGACCAGAAGGGGCGCACTACTATATGTAGAGATTATTATTTTTTTACCATTTACATGAAGAATAAAACTTTAATTTTTTTTATAAAATCCGATGAGGCTTTATAAAATCCGATATTGCTTTCCGCCCGCAACTGACCCATGTAACCTTTAATCCCTCAGCCTATTGGCAAGTAAAAACTAAGCACGCGTGCCGCGGCAGTGTTGTAGAATGAGGTCATAGATTAAAATGTATTACCACCATTAAATAAGATCAAATTTTAAACATATTTATTTCAGTGGATATTTTTGTAGGCCTACCCAGGATTGGATAAATGGAGATGGGTGTTTTTGATTGGTGGTGGAGTTTATATTATTGGGGGTATAATTTTTATGGCTTTTGGAACAACTAAGGAACAAGCATGGAATGAACCCAAGCAGGCAACTGCATAATTTTTAAAATTTATTTATCATACAGTACTATTTTGAATATACTTTTTTTATTAAATTGATTTTGTTTTAATGCCAATGCACTATTAGGGTTGACTTAAGCTTTTAATGAAGCTGTGGTACGCAAGATTTGGCAAAACCAAATTTGCTGGAAACATTTTTAGTATTCTTAGTCTTATTGCACGCAATTTATTTTATATTTTTGGATCGAGTACTATTTTAAATATACTTTGGATTTTATAATATGTAGTATCAGTTTTTATACAAATAATAAAACTTGGATTTCTAATTATTAATATAATTACATATAACACTGGTCTACAAGATTTTGAACAGGATCAGCCAAAGGAATTTGGTGCTCTGAATTCGAATCTGTAGTGGTTTTCATTAGGTCGGGTTTTTAAGAAATTCTTACTAATATCACAAGGTTTTTTTTCACAAAATGCATTAAGCTATCTCAAAGAACCACCTTGCCCTTTAATATACATTGGATTTTTTTCTTAGAGAAATATTTTGTTGAAATTATGTTTGGTTTGGGAAATGTTACCCAAACCAAAGTCATAAATTTTGATTCAACGTTTCCATCATAAATCTTAACTAACAATTTCTGAATGAGAAGAAAAAATGTTAATAAACTATATATAGTTTATTAACATTTTTTCTTCTCATTCAAAACACTTCAAGAAAAAGTTTTTTTTTTTGTTTTTGAAATACAATCACTTTTCGAAGAGTAGTTATTTGTTCTTTCTGCTTATTAGTACGATTCACGTTAAGAAACTTCCATTTTGTTGTACAGGGTGAGCAAAAATTACAATAATTGTAGATTTGCAAAGTTAAGTACTTTTAAATAATATTTTTCTAAGCGCTAATATGAAGGTAAAACTAAAAATACAAATTTGTTGTTAAAAATAAAATTAATTCATGTCCTAACTTGATTGAATCAGTTTCCTATTTTGTAGAAAATGAACGCTACATTTCTCATTTTATGATTAAGATGAACCTTGGTTGTTGCTTTCAACTAATGTTCAGATGACATGTCTACAATTATTTGTTAAAATTTGTAAACTAATATTTCCAGAAAGATGGAGCACAGTATTTACTTGATCAAGTGTCATGGTGTGTTATAAATACCCAAATTAAATTTTCTACTGAAAATTTCCCGGTATACGGTATAGTTATAGGAATATAGTAATATTCCTTTAACTATGAGAAGAAACTGATAAGAAATTGTAATAAATTAAAATTTAAGGTGTTTAAATGTTTAATTTTAAGTAAAAATAAATAAGGCACTGATTATAATTATTTATTAATAATAATAATTTATTTATTTATTTTATTTATTTAATACATCATTTTACAGTCCTTGGACCAATGACAAGATGAGAAAATTTAAACAAGTATTACATATTTAGCCTTATACATATAAATTCATATAAAATATACATAACAAAGTTGAGACACAAAAAAAAACACTTTAAATATCAAATATAATATATAATAATATAATATAATATAATAATATAATATAATATCAAATATAATATATATATTATGGCAAAACAAAATCACAATAATATTATAAGGAAAGATAAATAAATTAGGTATTTATAGTAATACTCCTTACTATTTGAACATTACATGAAAAAATATCAAATCTGTCTTGCAAATAATTGTACTTTCCACACATGTATAGGGGTGAAAAATTTAATATGTTTGTTTTAGGTGATGGCAGGTAAAATGTAAAATTATTTCTAGATGTAACACGAGGAACTCTAAAATATAGTTTACTTAAGAGATAAGGGCAGCCTATACTTTTATTTAGAAGTTTAAACAAAAATACTAAGGATGCTTTGATTCTGCGTTCCTCCAAGCTTTCAAAATTAAACCTCTCAAGTAACGTTTTTTGGGGAAAACCGATTGGTGGGTAAAATCCATCAATTTTAAATTTAAGAATTTTGAGAAAGCGACGCTGTATGTGTTTAAGCGAATCGGAAAGTGTTGCATATGAAGGATTCCATATTACACTGGTATATTCTAATTTAGATTTAACAAAAGTGTTGTAAAGTAGACTTAATGAGAAAACATCATGAAAATCCAAGGAATTTCTGACAATGAATCCCAAATTTTTGTTACTCGCATTTATAATATTTTCCACATGCAAATTAAAGTTTAATTTGCTGTCATATGTGACCCCAAGATCTTTAATGTGTTCACTTCGCTTTACTATTCGGGAGTTCAGAGTGTAGTCAAATCTAAGAGGATATTTTTTCCTATTATAGGAAACTACATTACATTTGTCAACGTTTAGAGGAAGGTTATTTTTAGCACACCAGTTATTAATTTTATCCAGCTTGTTTTGAAGGCGTAAACAATCATCTATACCTGTGATGCAAGAAAAAATTTTAGCATCATCAGCATACAAAAAACGTCAGGACTGACGCCGTCTACAATGTCATTGATAAATATGACAAACAATAGAGGTCCGAGTATTGATCCTTGAGGTACACCCGAAGATGCAGTTATTTCGAGACTTTGCACCATGACATTCAACATATAGTTTGCGGTTTAATATATAAGAGGAAAAAAGTTCAACTAAAAGTGGCGAGAGTCCAAATTAATCAAGTCTATCAAATGCTTTGGAAAAGTCTGTATATATTACATCTACCTGTAAGTTTTTATCGAGATTGTTTGCAATAAAGTCCGATATGCACATTAAGTTAGTAATTGTCGATTTATTTTTTACAAAACCATGCTGACTTACAGTAATCTGATTTTCGACATGGCAATATAAAAACTTATGCATAAGAATCTCAAAAATCTTAGAGAAATTATTAATTATTGCTATAGGTCTATAATTTTCACAACAATTTCTATCACCTTTTTTGTATGCCGGACAGAGTTTCGACGTTTTCCATACATTAGGATATACACATGTTTAAAGAATTAAATTAAAAATTAATTTTAAAGGTTCAATAAAAGAAAATGCACAATCCCTGATTATAAATGCTGGTATGTCATTTTCATAAAATTTGAATTAACCTTTTAATTATATCATGACGTAATCACCTATTTTAAAATATACTTGATCTACAAAGTTATCCTTTAGATTTGATTTTGTAACTAAATAAAATTACCAAAGCGTATTACTGTGGGTGCAGTAGTTTCTGGAAGTTTTACATATGGTGTTAAGAGGCTTAATCCCTTCCCTTTACTTAAAGGGATTAAGACTTCTAAAGCGAAGGGTAAACCAAAGATAATAAATTATCTACATTATTATCTTTGAGGTAAACCACTGATTTTTTCAAATTAATGGCTAAGGAAAACAATCACATGGGTAGTCATGCGCAACGCGTCTCTAAGAGAAATTTCTTATTAATAAGGATTTTTCACTATTGATAACGACTGATAAGGAAAAAATCAGAACACAACGTCCATATAACGTTAAATGTTTGTCTGGCTTTTACCACTCGTTCTAAAGAACGTAAAAACTTTTTATTGTTCATCTTTACAAACAGCGCCACCAGACCACTTGATGAGTTTCTGATGACCATTGAATGGAAAACCGTTTAGACATAATATTATTTATACAATTTTATAAAAACATTCAGTATACGTCCAGGAACACTCATGAAATCACCCCAATGCGGGACGTTATCGTTTAATATTGTTAGAACATCATTTAAAAAAATGTAGCACATAATTAAAAAATCCTCATTATGACCAGTACATGATATTAAGATAATATATTATATTATTAACCATTGCACTCTACATTAAGAAAAAAATGCCAAAAGCCTATATTGTACATACATGCAAACATTTCATTTTTGAGATAATAGCAGATAGAACCATATTAAACCAAGGTAGCGATATGTAAAATAAAATATTTTATTTATAGACAAAATTTGTTATATTAAATATATTTTTTTGATACGAGGTGTGTTCAGAAAATATCGGATGTTGTCGCCTTCAAAATAGTCCCCATTGTATATTATGCACATGTGCCAGCCTTCTTCCAATACTCGAAACACTTCTAAAACTCGATCTTTGGGATAGCCTTTAGTTCTTTCAGCGATGCGCTTTTAATGTCATCTATGCTTGCAAAACGACGGCCCTTTAAGGTTCTCTTTGTTTTTTGGAATAGGAAAAAGTTAGACAGAGGCATGCCTGGCGAATATGGAGGCTGGGGCATCATTACAATATTGTTTTTGGACAAAAATTTTGTTCAAAATTTAACAATTTTGGAAAAAAAAAATTCTGCCACGCGTTTTATACCCAAAACATTCGAAAAAATTTCATGAGATGAGCCAATCGATATACCAACATCATCAGCGACTTCTCTGATGGTTTATAACCATTTCTTCCACTTTTTCCATGTTTTTATCGATTTTTAATGTGCTTGGGCGTTCGGGGCGTTCGCCATCTTCAACGTCTTCACGGCCATCTTGGAAACTCTTATACCATTTGTAAACTCTTGTTTTACTTATAGCAGACTCACTATAGGCCTTTGTTAACATTTCACGGAATTTATTTCATTTTTTAAGCAAAATTGGATACAAATTTCTTTGATCCATTTCTTTTAACAAACAAAAATCGCCGAGCTCATAAAAAAAACATAAAAAACCTTAGCGGCTGCCACAGACAAAGTAAACGATTAAAACAGCTAAAGTTTTTATCATACTTCGGGGGCATGTATACCAACATAATAAAGAAAATTTTATGACAACCGGACCCTCCGAACCCGCGAAATTTAACAACTCCCGTTATTTTCTGAACACACCTCGTATGTTGAGTTTTTAAGTTTACTATAACTTTTTATTAAATGTTTCCAAATATTTGTAGTGTATTTTTTATGGCGGTATATTTCGAGAGGGCGGCCGTTTTAAGTTTGCCCGGAGCGGCCAAAACCTTAGATACGGCCCTGTATTCATAACCAACAAACATTATTGATATTTAATTTCCCACATGCACAAAACGTGGAGAATAGCCAGCCTCCCCTTAAAAACGGAAACAAGGTCATCTATTTAAAATATAGGGAATAAGCGGTATATCCGCGTTCGTTTTTTTATTGCCATCTCGCGGTCCACCGCCGACCTACTTAGATAGCTACATGTAGATCGCTACACCAATAAAACCCCAATAATTTTGAGGCTTGTCAAACTTTGACAATTAAAGTCCAAATAAAAATAAATTAAATTTTAGTTGTCTAGTTTTTTTAATGTGTCAAATGAGTGAAAATAATAATTTTTCTTAAAATATGAAATTAGAAGAGTATATTAAAAAATTTATGTGAAAACACATTCTTCAAAATGGCCTGTAAGTATTAAACAAATTTATATGCTAATTTTTGGTCAGTGAGAAATACCCATAAAGACAAAATAGTTTTAACAATATTATAATAAAATAAAATCTTGTCGCTTATCTCAAATATAAAAAGAAATTGAAGAACCCAGTAAGACCCAAACACTCGGCCAAAAGTCTGCCCCCTAAGGCCGGCGTTATGTTACCCCTGTACCGTTTGGCCATTTTCTAACCGAAGTGGGTCAGAATCAGTGGCGTAACTAGCAGTGGCGGCTCTACCTAAGGTTTGCAGGTTTGCACAACCCCCAAAAAAATCACCCAAGAAGGCAGAAATAAATTATGATTATAATAATATCATCGATATATATTTTTTTTAATTTCTTAGTAACTTTCTTGTTATAACACTATAGTTTCCAAGCAAATAATTAAATTTCCCGCTTGGCGCTTCGTATCGGTTCATTGATCGATGCCCGAATACCACGCCATCTAGTGTATAATTGTTGAGGCTAACGGGTTTGTTTTAAGGTCGCAAACCATTACAGGCTTTCGAATGGGCGTGTTGGGACCACGTGATTAAATTACGTTCAATATCATTGGTTTAATTAGATCGAAAGTGGTTGCAGGCAGGGTTGCCAATGGTACGGTCCTGACCGTACTTTTACGGTATTTTGATTTAAATTACGGTTTACGGTCCAACCTAAGGACCGTACCCCAAAAGTACGGTATTTTAAGAAAAAAATATCAAAACAGAAACTATTAAATTTTCCATAATTTTATTTAATTAAAGCGATTTAAAATAAAAATATTATGATTTTGTCTGACTGTAGCGCCATCTCTAGGGCATTTAATGATTAAATGCCCTAGAGATGGCGCTAAATTTTAATCTACATATAGTAGTGTTCTGTAAATTATAACTTCTTTCTTCCCAGTTTCTAATAACTGCCGCTAGTGTTAAACTCATATCAAACTTGTTTCGCGGTATTCCCAGCGTTCGTTTATTTCTGAAGTAAAGTTATAATTTGTTATTAAAAACCGATTGAAACATGTCCAGTGATAGTGATGATAGTACTACTAGCAAGGTTTGTCCTAGCAAAAAAAATCCGGGCATAAGAAACAGGTAAATAGGTTTGGACTAAATATTTATAAATATTTTTATAAACGTTTGTTGATTTGATATAGAAATTTCGGCAAGAATGGCTTAAAAATCCAGATTACCAAGCATGGTTGTGACCAGTAGAAGATTATATAATTATGAATTGGAATTGTGATTTTGAAAATTTTAAAATCACAATAGTTGTGATTTTGAATTTTCAAAATCACAATTTCAATTCATAATCATCATAATAATTATTATTATAAATTATGATAATTATGAATTATAATTCATACATTCAATACATTTTTTATTTTATCTATATATTTAATAAATATTATTTATGGTTTTGTGAACAAATTTTACAAAATTAAATATTTTAAAAATTATGCTTGTTTTGCTGACGTCATATGTGAAAATGCGAAAGTACGGTCCTGTTTTGAAAAGTACGGTCATTTATTAGCCGCCGGTACGGTTTTGTTATTTACTACAGTTGGCAACCCTGGTTGCAGGACAAATGCAACATTTAGTGTGAAATTCACACTGTGAATCGTGTTACGTATTTTTGCCGGGCCGCGTTAACATTTCCGCTGCGTTTTTATTATTGTTTGTATGTATTTCTTATAATAATACTGATTAATTCAGTTGAAAGTTTATTAGAAAATCCGTTCGGTAGTCGGTCGATCGATATAAAGAGGCTTGGAAGACCTACAACAAAGTTAAACATCGTTCAATGTGTGTCCAGTAAAAGCCGGTCTTTTACTAGAAAATTTAATTTAGATATACATATATAATAAACAATATGTTAACTTAAAACTCTAATAGTAATTAATATTTTAAATTTAAATTTTATATTTTTATAATTTAAATTTTTATGTTCCAATTTATTTTTTAAAGCGATCTTGGTTTTGCACATCTCTTGTAATATCTACACCTATACATATGGGTGCAACCCCAGATTTTTTAGGTCACGAGCCGCCACTGGTAACTAGGCTGGGGCAGCCGGGGCACCCAAAACGTAAAAAAAATTAAATGTTTTACAGCAAAGAATAAAATCCTCATGGAGCAGAAAAAATCCATTATATTATTCGTAATCCTGATTTTTCGCTTTTTATAATGCGTTCCACTTTATAGATATAATAATAACTACATCGATAAAGTAGAACGCACCATTACCAATAATACTATATTTTATTATTCTGTAGTGGTAGAAATGTATGTTCTCAAATAAAAAAGTATTAGGCATCAGTCAAAAATCAAAACAAAACAATTTTAGTTTAGTTTTTTTCTACGACTCTTACAAAATAAATATTCTGACCTTATAAAAATATTTACCTTATAAAGCCGTAAAAACAATATATATAATAATATACTTATTATTAATTAACTTAGACTTTTATTAACTTGAAGGCCCATATTAGGTAAAGGGCATGGAAACTCCACATTTTTCACATGGGGACTGGCAATGTCGGGGAGCCAGTAAAACAACTTAATGACATTGATGCTAAATTACTAGAACTAACAGGGAAATTACCAACTCTTAAACGGCATTGACCAGCCATTAATTTTAACACAGGCTGTGTGGAAGGGCCCCTTCTAAAGGGTGGGCCATGTTAATGTTGAATTATAAAATAGCAATGAGAACAAGAAAAACTGATTTTTTTTCAACGAATTTTGCTTTATTTGATACAATGTTTCTTCCGATTAAGTATGGAAAATGATTTTATTTAAGTGGCCACCTCAGCTGGCTCGGCAGTAGCCCATCCTGGAACATCAATTTTCGAGCACTTTGTCAAAAGTTTGCTGCTCTATTTAGGCAATTTGAGCTTGAATGTTTTGTTTTAAATGGTGAATAGGCTTTGTTACGGCGACGTGTGGATTTTCCGTGGCCCAAATCCTACAGTTTTGCTTGTTGACCTCCGAGGTAAAAATGCGCCTCATCCGAAAAGATGATTTTTCTTGCAAAATTAGGGTCATCGTTCAACTGGTTTAAAGCCCACTCGTTGTGGATGTTCAACTTTAACTCCTGAACAGGCTGGACTTTGTACGGAAACATACCGAGGTCTTTGTGCAGAATCATCCTCAGAGTGGTACGGGAAAGGCCGAGTTGTTGACATCTGCGCAGAGTTGATGTTGACGCGTTCATGCGTACATTTTCGGCCACAGCAGCGATTGCTTCAGGTGTACGTCTAGGACGAGCATGCGAAACATGTTTTATGTCCACCAGCATTCCATATCTGCGCAATTTTTTGATCAAATTTGTAATACTTTGGTTTGACGGCGCCTCATTTCTTCCAAACGCAATTTTCTTGCCGTCTCTGCGATCACAGTCACATTCAAAGTAAGTTTTGAGTATTTCGAAACGTTAATCCAAATTTATTCGGTGCATATTTTGTAATCGGAAGGTTAAAACTAAACCACTGTCAACAATTCATGGCGCTTAAGTTGAAAGCTTCATTAATAGCACGTAGTTTAAAATTCAACTTATAGAACCCACCCTTTATAACACAGAGGCAAAAAGAGGCCAAGAGAAAGTCCAATTCAAACTCTGATAAGCAAATACAGGATTTAAGGCCCTTAAAAATTGGAAATTAGGACGCATAAATAGGCAATGAAAATCTACATTTTAGGCCGTTTTAGTCCGAAAGTGCCTAAAATAGGCCTCAATCGCCTAGAATAGGCGATATGAAATAAAAACAACTATTTTTTACTACGTAGTTTGACTAATTTAAGATAAGTCACCATCTTTGACTATTTCTGAGAGTCAACATATGAAGCGTGACCGATTTAATCGCCATCGTTAATCGTCTTCTTAAGTCAGCTAAGTCAAGGGGTTTGGTTTTGTATACAAAACTTTTGACATATCCCCATATGAAGAAGTATAATAATAATAATTATTATTATAATTATAATAGTCTGCAGACTTAGGGCCCCATTTTATTTTGCCACCCCGGGCCCCCACCGGTCTTAGCCTGCCACTACCTACGAGTTTAAATGTTTACATATTTTAATCTTGCGAGAAAAATATGGCAATATAAAGTGGAATAAGGATAGGTAGATTTTTCACCCCTCTCCTACTCCTTGTTTTTGCAATATTTTCTTGTAAAATTTCGTAAAACGCACCCTTAATGTACATTGTTTTTCACGCATTTAAGCTTGATAGAATAATACAAATTTGGAAAGATTTCATTTACACAATTTTCTAAAATCAGGTTAATTTTGGAATTTATTTAACTTAAAACAAAAGCATAGAAAACTAAATAATCACAATTTTTTTTTTTAGTAAAAATACGTTTTCGTTTTTGGATTGCCGTAATGATTTTTTTCACGACGTTTATGAACTACGTGATGCGGGCCAATTTGTCGATGAGCCTTATAGCGATGACCAACCTGCCGCCAGGTCGTCAAGGTCAATGTTCCGAGAATGGATACATAACCACTGCAGAGCCCACGACTGAACCGCCAGAAAACGAGACCACAACGCTAGCTACCGAAACAACCACAGAGGAGACTGTTTTTCACAAGTTCGACTATTCTCAAAGAGAACACGGGCAACTTTTGGCAGCCTACGGATATGGATACGTCATCTTCAGTCCTCTCGGAGGATTTTTGTCTGAATATTTTGGACCTTGGAAAGTTATATTTTGGTCAAATTTTGTCTCCATCATATTAACATTTGGCTGCGTGGGAGCAGCTTTTATTCATTGGGGTGCACTGTTTTTTGTCAGATTTTTAATAGGCTCCCTGGGGGTAAAAACAAACACTATACATGGTAAAATAAATTAATAATACCTCCTTTTATTTAAAAACCATCCGGATGCATCCCTACTATCCAAGCAGATGAACTTTTTATTATACAGTCCAGCATTCATTATTACCCGATTTAAAAATGTCTACAATTACATACAAGTTAAATAATAATCTTTATTTTCTATATATATATATACACTATTGGACAAAAGTAAAGCAACAACTGTATAAAAAATCTAACTCCAAAACGCCTTTATTATTCTTTAAGAAATTTTGGATAAAAATACTTGAACTTAAATCTCAGTTTACGTGTTTAAGGGTTTTTTTAGAAAATATTTTTAAAGCCCATTTTTTTAATATTAAAAAAACGTTCGAAAAATAACTTTTACGGAAATTTTTTTTCAAGTAAATAAAAAATATTCTGTTAATGACCGTATTTTTGTTAGTATACTCTAAAAATTTTGTACAAATCAAATGAACAGTAACGAAGATACAGCGCTTCAAAGTCGGTAAAAATGACCCTTTTTTGATTATTTTGCTGAAAAGGGGTCATTTTTGACGACTTTGAATCGCTGTATCTTCGTTGCTGTTCATTTGATTTGTACAAAATTTTCAGGGTATACTAACAAAAATACGGTATTTAACAGTATATTTTTTATTTACTTGAAAAAAATTTCCGTAAAAATTATTTTTGGAAGGTTTTTTTAATATTAAAAAAATGGGCTTTAAAAATATTTTTTAAAAAACCCTCAAACACGTAAACTGAGATTTAAGTTCAAGTATTTTTATCCAAAATTTCTTAAAGATTAATAAAGGCGTTTTGGGGTTAGATTTTTTATACAGTTGTTGCTTTACTTTTGTCCAATAGTGTATATAAATATATATATATATATATTAATTTTAAAAATATTTGTTATATACTATACTATTTAATATCCCTTAAATTTTTTGACAATTTTCTATTTTGAACCAGAAAATCTTTATAGACTGTATCTGTACTAATTTTAAAAGGAATCGGACATGTTTTTACAAAAAAAAATTACTGGGATAGATTTATTTCGTGATATGGGTACTCAAATTTTGTATACTAGTACAAATAGATTTTTGTGTTAAAGATTTAAGAGGGTTATTTTAATTTGTTTTACGCCATATATGTTGCCAAATTTAGGAAAAACTAGTTTTGCCCAGGTCAAACTGGTACTGCTGTTAGTAGCAATAGTATAAACTGGTTTGTGCTGGGTTGTTTTTAAAATCAATGTATAACAGCCAGGAAGCACTAATTTATCATATTGTTGTAGCCGAAACTAGTTAGCACTCGAATAAACTAGTTTAAACTTGTTTAAGGCAGAGACGAGCGATCACGATCGATCGCTCGGTGGGAGCATCGGGGTAACTATAGGGTTAAAAAGCCAGGGCGGACCAGGGCTGACCTAGAACAGGCGGCCGGCAAAGGTGAGAGTGGCCTCTCAGTCATAGAAAAGGCAACCCCTCTACAGAAGGAAACTCGAACACACCATCTATCTGTTGTGTTCAGTCTCTGGTTGAGTTTATTCTGCCATTATCGAAAGACAAAACTTTTTTGTTGTGTTTGTCTGCTATGCTTGGTATTTCTTGGATTAAATGCTGCTAATTGAAATATTGCGGTAATTAAACTGCATAGGACACTTAGGAGAGGTAATACCTTTGTTTAATTTTCCCAGAAATTTTGTTCACAACCAATACAGTTAGTATCGTTTTGAAAACAATTTTATTCATAAAATAATTATTTTTTGAGGAACTTAACATTTATTCCCTCTCCAAAGTGTCCCATGCACTTTGCTAACAAATTAATTAGTTTGCACGTAGAAATGTATTTCAATTAGCATCATTCAATCCATGAAATACCAACCACAGCAGCCAAACACAATAAAACAGTTTATTTTTCGATAATGGGAGCATAAACACAACCAGATACTGTAAATACAACCAAAGACTCTGAAAACAACAGACAACAAGTACAAAGTAAAGTTATGTCACATTTTTACCAGAAAAGACAAAACAATCATTGAAGATATTTAAATTTGAATGTACCGCGCTTCAAAATGGTTCCTCCGGTAGCCACTAGAGTCGCAACCGTAATTAAGATCCCCACTTCTAACAGGCAATCGGGCACTCTATTGTTTTTGTTTCTCTATGGGGATACCACAGTATAGGTCGGAAAGGAGGAGAAAGTGCAGGCCCACCCGATCGTCAACCATCAACTGAGGAGTGATTTTTCAAAAGGTCGTATTTCCATTTGCAACAATTTTTCAAAAAAATGACTATAACCTGTATAGGTTAGGGCAATATAGATTATTTAAAAAAAATTCTGATGAATATTTAATAATACTTCAGACCTGCTGTCATATTTCGCCGTTAATATATGCCTTTTAACCATACCTTTGGGATTTTGTCAAAAAATTACATTCAAGTAAAATTGGAAATAAGGCCTTTTGAAAAATCACTCCTCAGTTGATGGTTGACGATCGCCTGCCATGTCAGAAAGCGGAAAAAATACAAGAACCTATACCTATAATTGGTGGTTACTGAAAATAGCTGAGCGACATAGATAAGGAATAAAGATCTTAGTATAGAGTATCAAGAAGCGCTGCTAAAATATAAAAAAAGACAAATAGATATTGTAAAAGAAGGAATGTCAAGCAAAATCAAAACAATGGCAAACACAAGGTTACCAAACAAACTAGGACAAAAAAGACAGAACATTCTAAAGTAAAAGTAAAATAAATAATTGTAAGACCAGATCACCAGATACAGCACCCATAATGTTACTGGAGGTGTACCACAGGTCCGACCCTGTAGGACATTATTTATAACGGAGTCCCTAAACTTGTGATGAACCAGGGAGTAAAGACGATATCTTATGCCGACAACCTGTTGGTTGAGGCAGGGGCCAGAAGTGACCATATACTGATGGGATAAATAAAAAATGGATTAATGAAATAATCTGGTAAATGGATAAAAAGAAGCTTACAATTTTTAGTCACAAAACAGAAGCGCCTAATAGAGTCTTAAATACCTAAATATTTAGTTTATTGTCTTCAAGCTTGGAGACAATAAACTAAATATTTTATAGTCAAGAAACCAAATTACGGGGAATAAAAAGTACAAATGCAGAAAATCATATGTCGTGTACTAAGGACAGGAGAAGCAGGAGAGTCAAAGAAGATACTTTTGACAATCGACATATGGATAAAAACAATGAAAATCCAAAGGTATATAGATATGTTTGATTAAGTTTAAAAAAATATTTAAAAATTACCATTAGGATATGCAGGGACTATAGGACGATCTCCAAGAAAGCTGCAAGGTAACTTGGCCTTGTCATACCTTCTAAGCTACTTGTGACTCTTTTGGGTAGAGCAAGAAGGAAAAGTACGAACGACACAAACGCAATACAGGTGGAGAACAAGCAAAAAAGGCCTCACCGATACCAACTTTAGAAATGTACTATAGAAAACACAGAAACATAGATGAGAGCATAACCAAAATATACACGTCGCAGGGGTGCTTTCAAAAATATATTTTCAATTCATTAAAATACTTAATACTGACGTGGTTCCGTTAGTTTCAGAAGCCTATCAAAAGGTGTTTTTACTTAAAGTGGCCACAAAACACAAGTGTTCATGAGGATTTTTCCTTTCCTAAAAGAATAAGGGTAGTTGGGTATTTATAGCCCTACTCAACTGCAGCGATCAAACATTTAATTGAAACAGGTTAGGGATTCTTTGTTTGTCTAACCAATATCTGCCATAATCCCGTGATCAAATATTTATGTTTTGTATAGCCTAATCCGTTCTAGCTCAGGATTGACTAGTTTATCTTAAAGAATAAAGCGCAATCGTAGACTAGGACAGATAAGTTTATTTTAGTGCTTTATTGATTTAAGAAACAACTAGTTTATCCTATCGCTCTTCAGATGTATCGGTTTGGCCTAGGCAAAACTAGTTTTTCCAAAAATTGGGTTTAGACGATAAAATATACACTTTAAGGATGAAAATAATCTTTTGAAACTTCCACTAACATTTAATCTTGATTTTAAATAACTTTTTTAAAGAAAGCTGCATTTGTTGTTTAAGGATTGTTAGTACATATCTTTTAATATTTTTTTAATCTTTCATAAAAATACATGATTTGTAAATTTAACATGTTTTAAAAATGCTCACCAAAAAATAAGCTCGATTAAAATTTGTGTAGAATATTTATAGTTTTAAACGGGTAAGAATCAAAGGAAGAAAATCAATTTCTCATTTTTAGAAATTTCATAAAATCTCATTGACCTGCGAGATCAAAAACATTGTGTGTGCCTTACTTTTATAAGCATGTTATTGAAGTAAAACTTAAGGAGAAGATGGTAGGAATCGAGTTTTAGAGTAATTATTAGTTGTATTGTAATTTATTTAATTATTTTCTGTTACAAATTTTTAAAAAAAATCTCATTCCTTACGCCAAGAACCCACATGCGAATATAATCCCCTCATCCTGTGACCAAACCGTTATATATTTTTAAGAGAAATTAATAGTTACTTTATTTACATAATAATAATTTATCACCTCGCTAAGGAAAAAATATATTTTTTTTTGGGCCACCCTAATCTTCAGGGATTAAAATGAAACTGAATTTTTTTTATGTTGGTATTTGAGCTGTTTATGTTTATCTTAAGTAATGAATACTTAGTAGCTCTATTTATGTTGTTATAGTATTTATAAATGTCTATTTTCGTTTTTTCTGGACATTCTTTGGTTCTATGGCCATCTGATTTGGTTTAGACATATTTATTGACCTCATAAACGTATTTGTTTTAACCTTATATTTTACAGATACACGGTATTTTATATTCACCTTTGGAATTTAAAGGTTTATCCTTAATCAAATTTTCTTTGTGGTTTTGCTTACATATTGAAGAATGGCTAGTCCGATGAATTTAGTGGTGTCATAGTCCGATGAATTTAGTGGTGTCATTGCCATTGTCCGTTGATTTGGGTCCACATATTTATTGATAGTCATATTAATTTCGCATTTTTAATATTCGTTGTTGATAAGTGTATTGGTTAATTTTAAAAGTTTAAGTTAAACGGAGTTTTATGAACAAGTGTCTCGGATCGCTTTTGGGAAGGGTGATGAGATACAAGCGGCTGTGAAATCCTCAGGTCTAACTTAATTTTGTTTAACTTATAATGCCATTTTATTTATATCTCAGTATTTATTTCACCGAAAATAAAAATAAAAGTTATGTTTTTTAAAAGGTTATTTTCAAGCCCACACAATTACAACTTTAAATCAAATTTAAACGGGACTATTTTTTTTATTCCAGAGGAGTCATATGGATCTGGAAAAGATAGATTATCAGGTAGCCTGTTAAAAATATTGTAAACATAAGCCTTTTTTCGGTCGGGCGCAAACGCGGAGGGGGAGTAAAATTTGTATTCATAAATAATGTAATATTTAGTTTATTTTAACATAAAGAAAGGGTGAAATGCACGACATTACATATTATTAAACAAAAAGCTAATCCATGAATAAACAGATGCGTTTACCCTTTCTAAAAAATAGTCAAAATCTTACTATTTGAATTAGTAACAGCATTGTTTACTAATAAAATAGTAATTTTCACTTTTAAATAGTTACTTTTTACTACTACTAATACCCAGTTAAAGTTTAAGTAATTTTAGATTAGTCACAAACTTGAGAGTAAAAATTAACAAATTTCTTTAGTCGTTTTTAATTCTTGCGGCCAACAACAAACTATTGTTAGCGATAAATTAATGTAGGCTCCATGGTCAAATGGCTCATAAAAACAACAAAAGAGGCAAAAATTTTAGCTTAAAACAGCAACAAAAAAAGAAATTCAACTTTTTAATAATACTTACAGATAAATATGCAACTTTTATATTATATTATTTACTGTACAGAAAACAACCAAAGGTTTCGCACAGTGGGGTTAATAATTTCCACATATCTGCTTCCCAATTTCTCAGCTTGGTAACGACTGTTCGAATCTTTCCTGAAGCCAGCTACCAAATACCGAAATATCCAAAAGGAGACGGGCAAAAAATATTAAGGATTGACGAAATGGAGTTAACGCTTTGTAAAGTAGAATTTATCAAAAACAATAGACATTGTCGCTCTCCAAAATTTACAATTTTTACGTACGTATCTATTAGCGCCTCCAAAATTTGTGTTTGTAAAACGATTGTGGTTTTTTTAATCAAAATGCAATTTTTTGTTAAAATACTTGTTATCAAAAACTAATTTTCGTCAAAAATGTCAGATAATGCTTTAACGCTTCTTCGGAACTGATAGTAGCCCGTACAATTTTTTATCTTCAAGTGGTGTATAAATTTATTGTCGTCAACACTCAACACACCAGTAATTGATTATGGCCTACTCAGATAAAACTTTTATGAGGATAGTAATTAGTTGTTAATTGGCCTATTCCATTATGCACCCTAATTTAGACCAACCATAAAATTCGATTCTGTCAGAATTTCTTCTTTTAATAATTGGACGTCTCATATATCGTTTAATTGAACCTACACCTCGCCAAAGTTTTTTGTTTTGAGTGCGTTCCACCAACTTAAAATACCGACAGACAGCTGTTTCGACTTATATTGGGTCTTATCAGTGTCGGGCAACTTGGTGTAGTCACTACACTATACTGTAGTGGAACACACCCAAAACAAAGGACTACCTGAGCTTATATACTGGGTTGGAAAGCCAACAGACGCGAGATGTAAGAACGTCACGTGATCCACACCGTCTAAAGACGTGGCCGCAATCGGTACATACTATGCAACCCAGACTGCACACGGCAAATTGTATCACAGATACTAATATGGCCTAAAGGGATCTAGAATTAGCCCAACAAGGTAAACATTCAATTTTCTTAGTTTCTTTAAGAAACTTTCATGACCCATTACTGGTAATATTCATAAGAAAAAAAATTGAATGTCTTCAAAATTTAATATATGATTTTGTGAGGTATCAAACACATTCAAAAATAATTTCAGATTTTTTTATAGTGCAGATTCCAAGAATATTATTTTTAGTGTTGGTTAGTACGGCACAGTGTATTTTGTTTCTCACGAGCTCGCTAAAGAGATTTCAATAAAAAATAAGCTATCATATTTTATAGAAGAAGAACATGATCATATTTTGTTTCTCGAGTTTGTAAACAAACTTTTGAAATAATCTATGGAAAATTCTGTGAAAAATAATACTTTTGCACAACACGGTGCTGTTCTGAGAGGTGATTTTTGGACTTTCTGTGAAACCTAATTTTTTTTATAATCTTGTTAATTAGGTCATAACTAAAATTTTAAGAGCAAAATAAAAAAAAATTGACGGTTTGAATTGTTTTAATTGGCTATTTATTAAAAATATTATGCACTCTTTCAATTATCCAATTAAAACTAGAGATTTAATTTAAATATTTATTATTTGCATAACTAAAAAAATAGGTTTTTACAATTTTTTTATATATTTTACTGTTTTGTTGCAATAAACGTTCAAACTTTTAATCTAACCTTTAAATATAGATTTATGTTCTATATCCTTAAAGGTTGCCATGAAACTTAGATCTATTAAAAATTTATTTGACGTTTGAATTGTCATTTTCAGTATACGTATTCTATAATTTTTGTTTATTTTTTAAAGTGTTTTTTATAAACAAAAATGAAAAATTGTAGTAAAAGTTACGAAGAAATTCATGAAATTTAACTAAGGACCGGTTTATTCATCTTGAGTAAAGTTTATCGGGCCGATAACTTTCATGTCAAATCAAAAATGAATAAATCGGCCCTAAATAAAATGTGGCACCCTTAGAATTATTGTTTAATAAATGTATACTATACATTTAACCTTAAATTAAAACTTTAAACGTGTATTACAACAAAACAGTAAAAGATATAAAAAATGTATAGACCTTTTTTTAGGTAATTAACTAATCTTTAATCTGATTTAAAAAGTTATGATAATATTTAAATAAAATCGCTAGTTTTAATTGGATAATTGAAAGTGTGCATACATATTTTTAATAAACATCCAATTAAAAGAAAATTAACCGTCAATTTTTTTTTATTTTGCTCTTAAAATTTTAGTTATGACCTCATTAACAAGAATATAAAAAAAAATTAGGTTTCACAGAAAGTCCAAAAATCACCTCTCAGAACAGCACCGTGACAAGTGTTATTTGTTATAGATTCTTTCGAAAAATCGCTTCCAAACTCGAGCAACAAAAGAGGATCATTTTGATGGCTTAGAAATTGATTATTACAGTATATTTAATTTAAATTTTAAAATACAATTGTTTAGCACTTTTTAAAATTGTCGTTTCAAATTTTGTGCTGCCAACTAATAAAATACTTAAATATGACAGTTTTAAACCTTCATTTTGCCATTATAACAACAAATTAACAATTTATATTGTTACTTGTACATTATAATATTATGTTGTTTTTAGTTATGTTGTTTTTGTTAATTAAAATACAAGGTTGCTGTGATGGCCTACTGTTATTTAGGTCTTTGAGCTCAGCACTTCTGAGCCAAATGACAAATATAACTATTTTTATTCAGAAAACTTATATCGTTATTAACAATGTGTTTTCCAAAAACTAGCCTTCCAGCCGCAAAATCTCAGTTGGGCTAGATTATTATCTTGGGCTAGATTATTATCGGTTGCATGCTCTAAGAACACATTGCGCTCATAGTTTTTTTTAAATAAGAAAGAAAGTAAATTAAGGTATCTACACTCTCCCTTACAGCCCAGGATACCTGCTAATCAATCATTTTCGGGTCCATAATCCTTCTGGAATTAAAAAAAATATTTATACTTTATTAACACTTGATAAACGCGTTTTAGGGTTTGGTGTATCCTGCCCTTCAAATAACAATATCTCGTTGGTCGCCACCAAACGAAAAAGGAAAATTTTTGAGTTGCATGATGGGTAACACTCTAGGAACAGCGATGATATTTCCGTTGGTTGGAGGCATTAGTCAAGCTTTAAATTGGGCTTGGGGATTTTGGCTTACCGGAATTCTAGTGTCCGTATATTTGCTGGGTGTTATTTTTATTTTATCAGACTCTCCATCAAAGAGCAAACTAATACCTGAAGAAGAACGAGAGTATTTGCTTTCAGTCATACCACCACCAAAAAATAAGGTAAGCGAAGAAATTCTTTTTGAACATTATTACTGTTTAACGAATGCATAAATAAAAAGAATATTTTTTATTGTTTAAAATTAAATTTAGTAAGTAAGGGTCTTATACATCCTGCCTTGATTACAAAATTAAAAAATTTGAAGGGCATATGATAAATATTTTTTAACTTCGCATTTTATTTTAGTTGGTGGCCCCTTACCTCAAAATCTTTGGATCAGTGGCCTTTTGGGGGTTGATGTTTGCCCATATAGCCAACTTGTATGGCTTATTTGTAATGGTTCTTAGTGCACCTAAATTCTTTAAAGAATATTTGAATCAAGATTTAAAAAAGTCCGGGTTTTTCTCAGCGTTACCTCAATTATGCAGAATGTTTTCGGCGATTACTCTGGGCATAGTTGTAGATGCAATCGAAGCGAAGGAATGGATATCAGTGACCGTACTTAGAAAAAGTTTTATTATTGTCTGTAAGTTTTAATATTCAAAATAATGAATTTAGTAATTTTTTGTAGTTTGAGCTAAAATGAATTTCGTATTGTATACAAAAAGATCCAAAAGTGTCGATTTTTAACCTGCATTCCTGAATGCTATTGGCAGAAAATGGTCGACAATTTTGTTTTAGTGTATTATTTTTTTTACTTGACTTTCTTTTTTCCAGTAATTTTTACATTTTAGGAAAAAAATGTACAATTCCATTTCCAACAAAAATCAAAAACATTTCAAATTCTAATGAACTATCAAACAAACACTATCAGTAAAAGTATTGTCTTCTGCTATTTGAGCTCTAATTGCCTTTTTGGAACTTTATTTACATAAAATACCAGCATATGGGCGAATTTTCGATAAATGTACATTTTGTATAAATATTTTGTCCAGGCAGGTCAATTTGATCGATTTTTTTCCTTTGTGATAGAACAGTGTAATAGACTATTCTATAATTCTATAAGTTTATAAATGACAAAAATAAACTTTAAAGAAATAAAACTTATAGGGTTAATCTGAAATAGGGAAGGAACACAAGGAAGAAATGAAACATTGTCCTCCTCCTAACGCATCTTCCTGAACGTTTTATGACACATTACTTTTGACTTTTTCAAACGTTATTTTTCAGAAATACTGTTAAATGTAAATATCTTTCGGCATTTGTTTGGAATTTCTACTATGCTAAAATACAAAATGAAAATAAAAAAGGTAACTTCTAAAACAAGAGTTCTATGTAGCGTTTTGTATAAGACACCCAAAGTGTACGCAAAAAATCTTACCTTTAAAATATTTACACAAAAATTCACACACTTTACACGTGCTCACGACGTTAGGAAAAAGACAAGATTTTTGAATGTGAACTTTAATATTTTTTTCTGTTTAAACTACTTTGTAGAAAACTATTTTAGTTTTATATACGAATAAAAGAACTTTCCATTGTTCAAAAACAATTTATTTTTTTAGAAGAAAGCTGCAAAGAAGAAGAATATAATAATTTAAATTAAAAAATCGCCTCTGGGGACAGTTAGGTTACAGGACATTTCACCTAGTTTTTCTGCCATATATAGAAACACAAAGTAATTAAAAAAAATACGATGGGTCCTAACAGGAAGGGGGTATTTAAATATAATAAATACAAAACTTAAAAAAGGTCAAAAATAAAAATAAAATTAGCTGGGGATGTACATTTAACGAAAATTTGCCCATATATATATAGGTATACCATCACTTCAACAAGGAGATTTATACTTTAACTAAAATGAAAATTTAACAGTTAAATACATATTTATAAATAAAATAGTATGTGAGATGGAATAAATTCCAAAATTAACATATATATATATATATATATATATATATATATACATGGTGTTTCACCACCAATTAGAAGTTTCTGGGGAACGGAAAAAAAATCTATTTGAAATTTTAAAAGCGTTTATAATCCATTTAAGTCTATTTTTCTAACATATTTTAAACAAAATTCCACTCACACAAGTGGCATCAACCTTATTATTTCAAAAGGAACACCCTTTATAGTTTAACATTTTTAAATTACTATACCATGTCCTAAACCTAAAGTGAATAGTTTTAGAGTTTTTAATTTTGTTCGTTAAAATTTGACAAATGGGCGTCAATTAAAAATAGTCTATATTTCGTTATTAGGTTTGCGGGTATGGAAATTAAATTTTAAATTCGATGCGCTGTGTGTATGTGTTTGAACATATTCTACGATATTTTGAGCGAAGAGTGAAAAAAAAACAAATATCAATTTTTTTAGCACACCCTAATATATATATATATATGTAATTGTGGCATCTTATTAAAAGTGTTGTATAATTGAATCGGTTATTATTAAAAGGACCTAAGTCAATTTTACAAGTTTTGAGAAAAAAATAAGACTTATTACAAAGTATACTATTACGATTTTAAAAAAAGTTATGGTATACCTACAAAGTTAATGATGATATCTAAGGTATATGTTAATTCAAATTAAATAATAAGCTTTTATAATTTTTTTATTAGGAAATTTAAGAAAAAATGAACGTGGGTCAATTTAATATTATACTACTGAAAGAAGAATTTTTTTTTGGAAAACTTTATTAGAATTAAGGATATATGTAACAGAACAATTTATTTACTAATCATTAATTAGTTCTGGTCTTTGTTGGCCAGTTTTGGACAATATTTTGATAAAATGGTTTATGTTCTTTGATTACCCATTGTATCAGACGCCTTAGATGCTCAATTTTCAGTATTGGAATTTTGTCACCCTTATATGCGGCATATAATATGCCTTGTCTGCTGGCATCGTTATTGGGCAAGGCTAAATTAAAATGCTGTGTCGTAAACCCATTAACAAATTCTACAACTCCTCCCATATTAATATTGTGTATGAAATGATGATTCTGGGAAATGTTGAAAGTGGATTTCTGGGTCCCTTTTTACCTATAGACTCATTGGAAAGACAGTTTTTTTTTAAACGTTGGCCACCAATTTTTCCAGTGGAATATATCCTATGTTGACACTTCTTTTACTATAAAATGTTTTTATTGCTCGCTTGTACAATGATTTCAGTATACTCATGGACCGAATATATCCTGTCATATTTTTTTAATGACCTCCTTATTGCCCCAAAACCTGCTGTATTTTAGTAAACCGTCCAGTCTGCGTTAAAGCCATACAAAAACTTACCATTTTATGGTTTTTATTTTGCCCCGGGCAGTTATCGGAAAAAAATATTAGTTCTTTTGAGTTTGGATCTGCATAGTTGGATATATAATCCATTAAAAAAGAACACACTTCATTTGGGCCTTTTGCAGCAATTCCTTCATGATAAACATAGAAATAACTCAGATCAGATTTAAAATCATGAATTCAAAATACGTTGACGCTTAGCTGTGATAAGTAGAAGAGATCCTGAACGGGGACTTGCAAATTTTGCATGAAGTCAAATGCAACAGCAGTAACACCATCTCTTTGTTTGACTTCTTCTGTGGTCTCTGCCAAGAATTTATAAAACTTCTTGGCTCTTCTTTTATGCACAATTTGTTCAACTACTGCAATGCGTTTGGCAGATTCGCTTAATGAAGGGCTTTTAATCTTTAGGGGTAAATCTTCACACTGACAGCATGTATCAATTTTTGGACGACCAAAGTGAAGCGTAAAGTTTTCTCTAAAAAACTTCAAATATTGGCTATATTTTATGTTGCTAGCAGGTTACCTTTCTCTAAACATGGTATGCATAATCTTAACGTTAAGTCTAGCATCAAGTGGTAATCCTTGCCCGAGTAATGGGTAGGTAAATATATGCTGTCGAATCAAAATGTTTTCTTCTTCAGAAATAGCACCCGTTTTCAGTGTTTTGCCACGATTGCCTTAAGGAGTTGAGTTACTTAGCAGTAACTGTTTTAGTCTTTTAACTCGTTTTACACTTACTGCATACAAACTTAGGTATGCATTTAAGCATACTTTTACTCTTGTATTGCCCTTATAAACATAGTGAACATAAGCATGTTCTCTATCTACTGCATACAAACTAAGGTATGCATTTAAGCATACTTTTACTCTTGTATTGCCCTTATAAACATAGTGAACATAAGCATGTTCTCTTGGCCGCCATTATTACTACGTTTTCGTCTTCGGGAAACCGCATGTACTTCAATAAGCGACTGCAGGTATATATCCTGTTCGTTTTAAGTTCCAAATCCATTGTACAGCCTTTCAAAAACAAAGTTCCGCTCATGTCCATTGAATTTGTTATAAAAAATTTAATTAGTTATCTTTATGTGTATACCTTTTAAACTTACCTGCAAGGATTACCTTGTTTTTTATCGGCAATTACTTTATTTCTGTGATTAATATATTCTATGCCTTTGATAATAGAATTTTCCACAACATTGCTCTTATAATTTTCATCGTGTCGTTCACCTCTACGACGCTTTGAGGCTGTTACCACTTTAGGAATTATTATAATCAGTGTCAGACATTGTGTATGCACTTATAACACTTGGATATATCTCAACAAGTTTGGGTGAAGCTAATAATCTTGTATAAAATAAACTCACAACCTTATTAGACAAGCTCACAATTCTCTCTCACAACTCAGAACACCAAGACAAGAATCTCTGTCAACTATAGTTATATACTGTCAAAGTCAAAATTCTGTCAGTGGAAGGGAGAGATTGATATTCCGGTAATTTTAAATGGAACTAAGTCCAGTGACTTGGGTCCTTTTAAAAATATATATAAAACATTACTCTACATAATTGTAATATTGTATTTGCCAAAAGCGGACTTGCTTCTTTTTAGCACCAAACTTAGTCTAATTAATAAAAAGCAATACATTGCTTTACATGTATAACTAAAAACGTCAAAATTGTGATTTAGTTTCTCTTAATAATAATCGGTTTAATTATATTAAAAGCAGTATTTTTTAAACAAATATATAAAATTATAATAACCACAGAATTTGAATTTTTTAGCGACTGGGTACGGGTTGACGAGGTATATACAAACTTAACCTTATTACACTACACAAAATTTTTCTACTATACAGAGTGTTACTCAAGCATGCACAATAAATGTAACAGACGATAAACATAGGTCCTAAAGAGTTTCTTTTTCCAGATACAGGGTGTTAAACTTTGATAAATCTTTATTTATTTTTGACAAGAAAATGTACGTCACTGAGTGTTTAGTAAATTTTTTTTTGGATTAACAGCCATGCCACGCTACTCGGGAATGTTTGTAGCGTCCGTTACAATTAAAAATTGTGATTAAAAGCTACCGTAATTAAATTATATACTGTTACAATAGTTAATATTGCAAACATGTTTATTATGCTCTGTAATAATTTGGCTTAAACTTATAAACATAATAATTACGGTAGTTTTACTCACAATTTTTGATTGTAACGGACGCTACAAAAATTCCCGAGTAGTGTGGAATGGCTGTTAAGCAACTAAAATTACACCTTTTTTATATCTTGATTTTTTTTTCTTATTTTCCTTAGTTGTAGGTACATAAAAAAATAAAATCTAATTAAATGCATATTTTGTGTGCTCGAGGGATATGCAATTAGGGGGATTTTAATTTTTTTTTCATAAACAAAATTTAAGAAACAAAAAAATGTTAGTTGCTTAAACCGAAAAAATGTTAAAAACAAAGTCACTTGCATACATTTTTTTATCAAAAATATTTGTTTAGATGGCGCTCTGGACTACACTGGACTTAATAAATTTAATCAAGTTAGAGATAAAATAGCCAATTAATACTACAAATTACACTGCCAAATTACAACAAAATTGGGTAAAGCATATTTAAGATATTTACGAAAAACCAATCAAAAAAAGTTTAACACCCTGTATCTTGAAAATGACGCATTTGCGGAACCATGTTATTACGTTTTGTAAATAAAATAATGTTATGTAAGTAATAGTAGAAAAATTATAGTCTGAAAAACGTTTGGAATTTCACATCCCCTCTTGTGAAACCACCTGACTTGCCTTCGACTTGTGTCATACAAGTTGTGTGTTCTTTCGAGCGAAATATGCTGTATTCCAAACTTGTTACAGTATATTTTATTAATTTTGATAAAGTTTTATTTCAGAAAGTCCTAATATCTCATATAATAAAACTTAAATAACTGAGATTTTATTATTTTTAGCTCATCTCATACCAGGCGTTGCAGCCATTTGCATTATGTTTTGTGAATGTAGCTGGGTTATCGCCTTGTGCCTGTTGGTATTAATGCAAACGTGCAACGGAGCCGTGGTAGCCACCACTTTGCACAATCCTCAAGATCTAGCACCAAATTATGCCGGTACTATTTTTGGTATCGTTAGTTTGGTTGGGGGAACCACCCAATTCATTGTACCAGCTATTACTGGGGAGCTTCTTCAAAACGATGTACGTATTTTTATTTATGAAACAAACCGACAAAAACTGTATATGCGTGTTTTTAATAATACCCCAAATATGCAAACCAATTGATGATAAAATAAAATTAGGGAGCCCTGTGGTTTAAATAATTTTTGCTAATTTAATTTTTTTTGCAGCCAAACGCAGGATTGGAAAAATGGAGATGGGTTTTTATAATTGCAGGTTGTATTTACATATTGGGCGGATTTCTTTTTATCTGTTTTGCTTCTGGAAAACGACAATCATGGAACGAGCCCAAAGAAAGCACTGCTTAAAAAAATTTAATTATACATAAACAAATTCAAACAAATAAATTTTTGTATCCGAATGACGTTTTTATATGTTTTTTATTTGTATGAGTATGTCTACATTTAATAAAAAATTTGAACCCCCTTACCCCTGTTATTTATTGTCACAAAGTCTTAATACGAAGATTTTTTAAGTTTATTTTTTATATATTTTATTAATTTTATGAACCATTTCATAACGGGGAAGTTTTAAAGAAAGACACTTGCCTGTACGGGTACCCGCGGGTATGGGAAGGACTTACTGATCAAAACGTTTTCCGTTTCCAGTGATCGATCACTGCAATTCTCCTAGCTTTTCGTTTCAAATTTAAATTGATTTAAAGTACTTTCACTATTTTTGTTAGCTAAGTCGCCAGAGCTCGACCATTACAGAATTCATACACGAAGCTTTTGGTTTGTGAAATGTTTCATTTTTGCAAAAAAGTATTTAATAAATCTTTTTCTTAATTAGCTTCAAACAACCTATCACTTATTACACCTGTCTAGAATAATTTTTCCTAATGATGGCAGTCGTATTTCTGAGTGGCGGCTGGTGGATTTTGAGCACACCCATATCTTAGTTATTAGACATGGGACCCACATCAAATTTATATGAGTTTACAATGACATTATATAGACAAGTTCTGCGCAAGCAGAATTTAAATTGAAGTTTGCGAAAAAAAATTAGTTTTTAAGTGTGCCCCCCAGCGTCCTGCCCCCCCCAAATTAAGATAATTTAATTTTTATTATTTCTTTTACTAAATTAAAAAAAATAGAAATGGTATAAAATCTGTAATACTTGAATTTTTTTAATAAAATTAGACATGTGTGGGGGCAGGAGGCAGGGGGGCACACTTAAAAACTAACTTTTTTTCGCAAACTTTAATTTGAATTCTGCTCCCGGTGGCCTGCGCTACCATGGTGGTCTGCTGGACTTGTTATGGTATGCAAATAGAAAAAAGATTTTTATACCAAACAAAAAGTTTTTTCAAGTTATATCACTAAACACTAAAATAAATTAAAAAAAAAAGAAAGTTTTAATTGACTCCCGTAAAAAAATCTAAAACACGTATTTTTTATGCTAACCCTTAACCAAGAAGTCACAGGTGGAACCCCTAAACCGTGGGGATATTTTGGATGCTTTCGTAATTATTTTTCCGTTTCTTTAAAAGTCCAAACTGATCCGGGGCCACTTCGATAAAATGCAATTTTAGTAAATTTATAAATTATCGGGGATGAGCTCGGATTTATAGAGAAACAGAAACATAATTACAAAAGCATCCAAAAAAGACCCCTCTCGCAGTTTTTGTCTTGATTTATTTGTGATAATACTTTCCTTTAATATTAGTGTGAAGTGACGTAAATTTGGAAGCTTTTATGCTGATTGCTGTGGAGAGAAAGGTGCAAAATGGTTTAGATTGTGACTTAATAATTGAACTAGGTGAAAACAATTTCTTTGTTGCGAAGAGAGTTATCACGGGACGTTTTATCAGTCGAGGTATTTAATTGTGATGTATTTTTACAATTTATATGAAATTGGCTTGGGCCTGGACTGCTCTACCATCTAGTCCAGGCCTGCATTGATTCAGCCAGCACGCCCCTGGTAGGGGCTAATTATCCTGTAAATTTCATAATTCTATTTGGAAGTCAATATTCTTATATAATGGCCTAAATAATGCGATTTTCTGGATTTTTAAAATTTCAAGCAATTTTTTTGTTTGGAAACCGTATGCCGAACGGGTCAATTGTAAGTTTTATTTTATCTTTGGTATATAAACTATATACATATATAATATAATATAATAATATATACATATAATATATATATAACATAATAATATACGTATATTAAAAAGCCGAGACATGGGACGTATTTAAAAAACACGAAAAATTAGTAAAATAAACGTTTTTTCAGCACCGTGAAATTATTTAGAAAAATTAATTGAGTGAATTTTTATTTTTTTATAAAAATTACTATTTTTTAGCTTTAAAATGACATCTTAAAATTTTAATTATCTTTAAAAGAAAAAAAATTACTAAATAAATAAATAATTAAAGCATAAAAATGACGTTTTTAAAAAGTTTTAATTCGATTAGGCCGGATTTGACACATGCGAAAAAATAAATAAGGGTGGATTTTGTCCTTTGGAACCCTAATGAATATTTCTATAAAATTTGAGAAAAATCCAAGATGAAACGAGTTCCGGCGTTTTCATATGGATTGACTCATAACCTAACATAGTTCCACACAGCATAATTCATTCGTTATTCTTAAAATACCTGTTACCCATGTTGTATCATGCCTGTTACCTTAACTGCGGATGGATTGATCTCCAGGTTTCTAGAACTTTATGTATAAAATCATTAATACAATAAAAATCAGTAGGTATACCATATTTTGAGAGAAAAAATACCATATAAATTGTTTTTAACTGTTAAATACTACAATGTCGTATTCTAAATCTTATGGAAAATGTAAAAGAATATTTTGACATTTATTCTGTATTCTGTAATTTAATTTATATTTTATTCTTTGGGCATTTTAGACCAGCTAGAACGACTGGACTGTGGACCTATACTTACCTATTAAATGAAAACATGATTGGAACATCACGGTTCCAATGTTCAATTAGATAGCGTTTAAAATTTATACTTAGGTATAGTTTACTTATCCAGTTGACATTTGTATTTATAAGCCAACAGTTCAGTTTTATAGGTTAGAGAGCAAACCTAAACATTGTCATCACTATGGCAGAGTTAGACGGAAATGCTGTTCTAGCACAATCCCTAAAGGAACAGGTAACTAATTTATTTACATTTAATATACCTAATTATAATTACACAATAAAAAACAATGTTTATAAGTGCAATACTGCAAAACAAAATTATTAAAATTATAGATACCTTTAATATTTACTTGGTAGTAGCGTTAAGTAAAGAGTAGTGTTCTCAATCAACGGTAGTAGTTTACAATCGCTATATATAGATGGCACATGAATCTACTTATACGTATCATATACTTACCACACATATATAAATCAGTTTTAGATATATATATATATATATCCCTGATCAGTTCCTACTGAGACTGTTTCCTTTTCTTGGAGTTAAAGTAGGGGAAGTGAAAATACAAGTATAATTGTCGGTTTAAAAAAATACCATATTTTCGCCCCTATTTGGAAAATATAATAAATTTTATGAGATAAAGCAATATAATAAATAATAAATACACCTAATGATGAAATTTTAGATTTTATAATGGCAACGTTGTATTATAGCATATCCCCATAAGAAAAAATCCTTAGGAGCCAAGTCTGGCGGCTTTGCTGGCCAGCGAATAGCGCCCCTGGGGAAAAATCTCTTGTACTCCATCACTATTCTTGCGTTATGTGATGAGCAACCGTCCTGTTGATACCAAACTTTGTCCAAATTTGGAATGCACGAATAATTCTATTTTGAAGAAGATCCAAATATCTCGCTTCATTTAAATTGCCACTAATTATAAAGGGACCTATAATATTATTCCCATAAATACCAGACCAAACGTTCAAGATACTGAGTCTTTAAGTTTAATTGCCTGTACTCATTTTCAATTGACCAGTACCGGACAATAGTAGGATTGTGCTTTCCATGTAATGGAAATGTAGATTCGTCGGTAAATACTATGTTTTTAATAAAATGTTCATCATATTTTCACAAAATTCCATTCTCCTGTATTCTCCTGTACTCGTCGTCTCCTGATGTACTTGTTATTTATAGGAACGATATTTTTTTTTTAATATTTTGTGGACTTTACCCAGACTAATGCCGGTCTCTTCGACTATTTTAGGAATTGATGTATTTGAATCTTCTTCTACCATTGCACAAACCATTATTTCTTTCATCTCCGCATCTACATCAATTCTGGGAGTAGGTACTGTGACATTTACACCCCAAAATACAACGATTTGTTTTAAACCTTTGGATAACGTTTGTTATTGTTCCGATTGAAGGAATAGAACGTTTTGGATATTTAACTGCGAATAGGTATCTTGTTTGAAGTAGAGAATTGCCCACTAAAGACCAGTTTATCATGTCAATTTTCTCTTGCAATGTGTAGGACATTATAACTCGAAATACACTGCATACAATGCATCTGGGAAGGGGCGATCGGATTCACTCGGGTCCACTCTAGTGTTCAGGTTTCAAATAAAAATGCGGTATATGTGGAAGTATGTGCTTATATAATATACAAGGTGTCCCTAAACTTAGTGGCATAAATTTAGGAGCAGATTAAGCAAGTCAAAATAAGATGAAAATCTAAATAAATATTTTCCTAATTACGTATGTTTCCAAGATACAGGGTGATAAAGTGTTACTTATCGTATCAGTTTTTTAATATAACTAATATGGTAGACTTACTCAGTTCGGCTACTTTTAAAAAGGTGTACCTACCTCTCAATAATTGTTAAATTAATTTTTATTATTTTAACAGATTTAAAAAAATTTAATGTAACGGTGGGGCAAGTCAAAATAAGATGAAAATCTAAATAAATATTTTCCTAATTACGTATGTTTCCAAGATACAGGGTGATAAAGTGTTACTTATCATATCAGTTTTTTTAATATAACTTCTAATATGGTAGACTTACTCAGTTCGGCTACTTTTAAAAAGGTGTACCTACCTCTCAATAATTGTTAAATTAATTTTTATTATATTAATAGATTTAAAAAAATTTAATGTGACGGTGGGGCAAAAATTTCCAAGGCTTAAGGAATGCCATTTTTAGTTTTTTAATTACAAAATAAAATTTGTTATCTTAACTTAAGAGCGAATTCGTTCGAGAGCACGTCAGCTTATCTATATCGGTAAGGATTAATTGAAATATTAAATTATTACAATATTGTGACATTAAATAAATAAAAAAAAATATACAAAACATACCTAGTCCACAGAAGGCACTTACAACTGAAACTAAATTTAATATTAAAAAATAAACTAAGCAGGATTATTGAAGATTTAAAATGAAACTTTATTGTACAAAAAAATCAAAAACTTATATTCGAACACTTAGACGCAACTAAAAAATATCCACTCTTCTTAATGTTTATTTTATTAAAAAAACTGTAATAGGGTCACCCTATAAAACTCATATAACTAGTATAAACAAAAGTACACAACGTTTAAAAATTAGGTTAATAACGACACTTGATTTAAAAACAAAATTTTAAAACATGCCCCAATATTTTGTTAAGCTTAATATTATGTAGGTACCTATCAAGTTTTATAAATGCCACTTTTATTATCGTTCCCATTATGTATTCTGAGATATATTATAAAACATTTATAAACTAACTACATTTTTAGGGAATCGAATATGTATTTGGTATAGTCGGAATACCAGTAATTGAGCTCAGTATGGCCCTACAACAACATGGTATCCATTATATTGGGATGCGTAATGAGCAAGCGGCTTGTTACTCTGCCCAAGCCATAGGATACCTTACTGGTACCCCGGGAGCGGTTCTGGTGGTATCAGGACCTGGACTTCTCCACACTTATGGAGGAATGGCCAACGCTCAGATCAACTGCTGGCCAATGTTGGTTATTGGAGGGTCTTGCCCAGAGGATCATGAAGGTAGGAAAAACATTTTTAAACACAGTTTTGTCATTTTAAGTAAAGTCGGTTTATTTATTTATTTAATTGGCACCCTCGTCGTTTAGTAGAACTAAATTATTAAATGATATTATTACATCTAAAAGTATTGTACCTTCAGGATTATTATAGCTGAAGCCCCATATTTTTTAACACCAGAAGACACCTTTCAACTTGAACTTGCAACTGCACTAAAACACACCTCTATTTCCCACGGATGCGTAATATACACTGTAAAGTCGTTTTAACAATATTAAATAAATTAGTTCTTTAACGTTTTTGCATATAAATAATGTTTTAGGTATTGGTGGATTTCAAGAATGCAACCAAGTGGAATTATCCAGACCGTATTGCAAATATTCAGCAAGACCTCCAAGCGTACAACTCATTCCACAACACGTTGAAAACGCAGTAAGATATGCCAAAGTAGGAAGACCCGGTGTGTCTTACTTAGACTTTCCTGCAAATATACTTGCAGGAAAAATCCTAGAGACTGCAATAACAACTTCACCAGGACCGGCAGAAATCCCTCTAATTTATCCTGACCCAAAAGAGATTGAAAAAGCCGTAGAAATATTATTAAAAGCCCAAAGACCATTGGTAATTATTGGTAAGGGTGCGGCGTATTCCAGAGCTGAACAACAAATCCGTGACTTAATCAAAAATACTAACTTGCCATTTTTGGCGACACCAATGGGTAAAGGTGTAGCACCAGATACATCACCAAACTGTATAGCTTCAGCTAGATCTACAGCTCTACTTAAAGCCGATGTAGTTTTACTTTTGGGCGCCCGTTTGAACTGGATTTTGCATTTCGGTAGAACTCCCAGGTATGCTGCTGATACTAAGTTCATACAAATCGATCTGAACCCTGAAGAGTTACATAACAGCGTGAGATCCTCAGTAGCAATTCAAAGTGATATTAAAACAGCCGTTGAAGCACTAATTATCGGTCTACAAAAACGTACATACAACTTTTCCAATCAAAGCGAATGGTGGAAAGTTTTGCTAAGGAAATGCGAGGAAAATAAAAAGGCAGTTCAAGCCATGGCAAGTGACGTTAACACGCCCTTAAATTATTATGCCGTCTTTAAACATATATTTGAATTGTTGCCGAAAGATTGTATTATTGTTAGTGAAGGGGCTAACACCATGGATATCGGTAGAACGATGTTGTTGAACGATTTACCTAGACACAGACTGGATGCTGGTACTTTTGGAACTATGGGGGTAAGTAAAGGATTACGCATTTTTAAAATGGTTATATTTTGTGTTCAAATTAAAAATAAACTTGTAGTTACATGTTTATTATATTATCAACTGAAGTCTTCATGGATTGACAGTACGGCGAATGCACTAATTATTTCCTTTCTTGTTGAGTTTCGCATGTAAATTAAATTCTCTTTAGCATCGAAATAGCATATTAAAAAGCTAATACCATAAGACTTCATTTTTTCTAACGAGGACAATTGAATTGCCGGAATGCACAACCGACGCAGCGCGGGGCCAGTAGGCTACTGCACGGAGACCGTTCAATTTCAACAAAATTCTTTAAATTAAACTCGCGATAACTCCTTAACTAAACGTGCGATTTTTATGAAATTTGGACAGAATACTTAGATTGGTACAGCGATGCTATTAAAATAAAAAATACAAAATTTTAACCACAATTAATTAATAAATGCATCAATTTTATTTAAGTCATAACTATGCTTAAACTAGTAGATGTTTATAAATTATATACGGTTTTTTTCTTGGTAAAATAAAGAAGTTTTTCTCCAAATTTGACAATTATTGATAAATTATTATAGCCGTAATACAAATAAATAAAAGAGCCCGCGGCGCGCTGCCGCGACGTAAAGACAACAAAGTGCACAAGAATCGAAACTAAACTCGATTTATCACGTTAAAAGCTTAATTTGCAACAAATCATTTATTATTACTTATTATAACTAAATGTGTTTACATTGAACACTTTACACTTTACAATATAAAACACGAATTTTATTTTGAAATAAAATGATTACCTAGGGCCGCTACTGTTTGCTATTTTTATCAATAATTGACCGCTAAGTGTTAAATATTCATCTTGGCTACTGTTTGATTTGATTTTTAAATATATAAACAGATTAACAACGAAAAAGATAACGAAATGTTACAAAAAGACCTAGACTATGTATCAGAATGGCTTCAAGTAAATAAGATGTTTCCTAACGTAGAAAAGTGTGCAACTATAACACACACGTAAATATACATTAATTAATAGTACATATAATCTAAATAACATTAGCTTAAGTAGAATTTATTAATGTAAAGATCTGGGTGTAAAATTGAAATTCAACTCTACCTACAATACAATAGTACCTAAATAAGGCATTTAGGGTACTTGGTTTTGTACTTAGAAATGCCAAATATTTTAAACATATTTTATCCCTTACTAAATTGTATGCATTAGTGAGGCTTCATCTTGAATATGCTTGTATTATCTGGTCACCTACAGCAGAAAGTAATAGTAATGTCATTCAAAAAGTACAAAAAAGATTTCTTAGATATTTACATGTAAGGAATATAATTTATACCGGTTTTTGGTATCATATGTATCTATAGATACATACCTACATTTGGTTTCCACAAATTATTATTCTTCGATCTTTTTCGTCCGATTTGTTCGGACGAAAAACATCGAAGAATAATAATTTGTCGGAAGCAAATGTTGCTAAAAGTTAAAAGATATGGTAATAATTTTATTTCAAAATAAAATTCCTGTTTTATATTGTACAGTGAACAGTGTGCAATATAAACACATTTAGTAATAATTACTGATAATAAATGATTTGTTGCAATTAAGCTTTTTACGCCGCCGCAGGCTCTCTTATTTATTAGTATTACGGCTATAATAATTTATTAATAATTGTCAAATTCGGAGAAAAAATCTTTTATTTTACCAAGAAAAAAAACCATATATATATATATATATGTATATATATGTATATAATTTATAAACATCTACTAGTTTAAGCATAGTTATGACTTAAATAATATTGATGCATTTATTAATTAATTGTGGTTAAAATTTTGTATTTTTTATTTTAATAGCATCGCTGTACCAATCTAAGTATTCTGTCCAAATTTCATAAAAATCGCACGTTTAGTTAAGGAGTTATCGCGAGTTTAATTTAAAGAATTTTGTTGAAATTGAACGGTCTCCGTGCAGTAGCCTACTGGCCCCGCGCTGCGTCGGTTGTGCATTCCGGCAATTCAATTTACAAAACGAGCGACGAAGGACGATTGCGAGAAAATGTCTTATGACATGATTTATTTATACTCTTTTTTCTATTTTTTGTTTTTGTCAAAATTTTAAGAAAAATTCGAATTATAAATTATATTTGCCTATCTGTCGCCATAGAGGCAAAACAAAATGCAAATGCGTATCGTACTGTGTTTATTATGGAATACAAGCAGAAAAATGATCTTTTCAATTTGCTGTTGTGATCCGAAGAGTCAATAAAATTGTTGTAAATGTGCTTGAGTCAAAAACCCAAAACTTTTAAAAGGTTGGCATCTTTCTCGAGTCCTGCTAATTTTTTATATGCCAATTTATATTCAGCTCTCACAGTGGATTCTAAAACCTTCTTGATCATTAAAATATTGAGCCAGATGACTCAAGTTGTTTAGTTACACCAAATTTATTAAGAAGTATTTGTAAGCTTGAAAGGATTTCCGCATTGGTTTATTCGACATAAGTACTTCACTGTGAATCATCGCCACCTGTAATATTTAAATCACAAGTTTGCATAATATTGTTGAGAAAACAGATGTCAACATATGAGTCGAAAATATGGAACAAGTTTCCTGGTAATTCTAGTTTTTATGAAAATTTATATAAAATTTGTGAAAATTTTTATAGAATAAAAATTTTATAACGTTGATTTTATAAAAACTCACAAAATTTCTGGTTTTTATAAAATTATGTACCTACTTAACAAAAATTGTACGAAAATATTTCCATTCATAAATTTTCTATTTTAATAAAAAAAGTTGTTAAGAACAATTTTTTTATTTTATACAGTTTTAATGAAACCACTGAAAGTTTCAAATAGTCGACTTGATGAAAATCTCTGATTTCCATAGTTTGAAAAGTTTAATCAATTCGTCACTTTCAATCAAATTATTATCACTGGAGTCAGATGAAGACAGATGAACTAGTGTACCTATATATGCCCCACCCCTGTGTACATATATTTCATCAGAACACACCAAAGACTAATGTGTGTTATACATTATTTTACACGAATAACACACTTGGTCTATACACACGAAGTATATGTGTTATTCGTGTAAAATAAGCGAATGTTTATTTTAAAGATGGCAACCTGGCGTTGTCTTCGAAAAAACGGCATGCAATCGATTCAAATCTGTTAAATACATGATTACCATTACCATTATTAATAACATGTTGCAGTTATAGTTACGTATACTATAGAGCCATTCCACGCGTAACGGATAGGACAGTTGCCGTGATTTTATTTACAAAATAATATTGTTCTATTATATTACCAATGTCAAATTTTTATAAATAGTTCTAAACTAAAGCTGTTTAAGAAGGTTTTTATTTGGCAAAATTAGGTATTGTGGTTGACTGTTTAATTCCTTAAAAACTAATAATTTAAAGCGTAACGGACGGGACTTTGTAACGTATTAAATGGGTGAAATGATCAGGACATCCATCTTGCTGCCAGAAAATGTCCACAACATAATTTTCTAATAAATCTAAATAAACAAATTGATTTAAATTTTCTTCAACAATTACATTAAAAAAAAACCGCACCAAACGTTAACATCCTTTATGCTTACATAATTTGGATTTTCGTTAGACCAGAACCGACTATTTTCTGGGTCCAATCGACCTCCGCGACGGTGCTTTTTAAAAAATATTATTTAGTTGCTGCAGAGGAGCATTAGACATTAAAATGTATAATGGGTTGCATACAATAGTAGAAAATACAATAGTAGAACTTTACTGCCGATTTCTTTTACTTTACTGCCGATTACGGATAAAATAATTTTTCGACGAAATTTAATAAATATAATTTTGTTCCGTACTAGGTATTTAGACTTTAATTTGAATTTTCATGAACTTTTTCTTATACAATTTTAAAGAATGTTCAAGTTTTTCTAATTTCTGAGCACCCTGTACGTTTGATTCAGATATTTTTAAGGGAATTTCATTATTTAAATAAGCAAGAGTTTTTATGAAGAATAACTTTTTTCCGTAAAACAAAATTTTCATCCAATTTCTGCATACAGAATTTTACTATTCCATGAAAGTACTTTTATGACATGATTGGAAATGTTTATTGCACGATGTTACATACTTTTTATTTGTAAATACTAATTTCTTAAACAATATATTTTATTTTCAGGTTGGTCCTGGTTTTGCTATCGCAGCAGCTTTATATTGCAGACACTATGAGCCAACTAAAAGAGTAATTTGCGTTGAGGGCGATTCGGCTTTTGGCTTTTCAGGAATGGAAGTCGAAACTATGGTTCGTTATAAACTTCCCATCACCATCATTATTGTTAATAATTCTGGAATATACGGTGGTATGGACGAGGAGTCGTATAGGGAAATACAAGAGGCTGGTGGTAAAGATGATATAACTAAAATGACTCCACCAACCAGTCTATCATATGCTGCAAGGTACGAAAAAATGATGACCATTTTTGGAAAGTCTGGATTTTTCTGTAAAACTATTCCAGAGTTGCAAAATGCAGTGAGGGAATCATTAAAAATTAATGATAGTCCTAGTATTATCAACGTTATTATAAATCCTACTGCAGATAGAAAACCACAAGCTTTTAACTGGTTGACAGAGTCTAAATTATAAATTTTTCATATTAAATAAAAAGCTTCCTATTTAATACCTACATTTATTTACCCCAACAAAAATCATTCAAAATCACTTGACAATATCACTCACAACAATTTATTCAGTTAGATATAAGTTAACAAAAATGTGTTTATACAAATAAATAAATAAATAGAAAATAATATCACTTTTGTATTTTATGCTTAAATAACTTAAAAAATATTAGCAAAACAGAAATCAACATATAGATAAACATAACTGTTACACATTGTAAATTTAAGAAATGGTAGTTAAACCACTTATGATTTTTAGAAGCTTTTTTACAAATTCCAGAGGCATTTAAAAAAACTGAATGGTAAGTAGTATTCCTCATGGAGCATAAAATTATCTTATAAATTTAAAGATATGTAACAGTTAAATGTTTTCTTAATTATTAAGTAACAAAATTCAGCAAAACATACAATTCTGGGTTTCAATATAACGACCCGTCTTGCAACAATAAAAATAACTTGACATTAATGATAATAAAGGTATGGTTATATGATGCTCTATTTTTTAAGCAGTATACATTTATATAATAGACAAAAATAATATGAACCCATACCTCTAAACCAATACTTTATCACTCCATACACTAATCATTCTTGCTATTAGTTTGTAAGAAAAGTTTTTGTAAATTACGTTTTGCTCTATTAAATTTATCGAATAATATTTTATAAGGATTACTTAAATTTTTTTAAAAATTTCTTAACTATAAATGCCGCGATTTTTAGTTAAAATTTTTTGTCTACAAGATCTCTAACAAGTACGCACTTTTAGAGATCTCAAAAAATAACGATTCGTTCACTAATCTTATTCACTAATATATGAAAGGACCTACATTGTAGGTGCCCCAAATAAGGTTACCCTACACAAATAAATTTTGGATTGCACAACTCCCGACCGATTTTTAATCTAATTATTTTTTACTATCTACAATTTAATACTCAAAAAAATCATTCTATATTTAACTATGATCGATTTAAATCAAAGTAAAACCGCTACATGATTTTAGTTTCCAATTTCATTGGAAGAAAATTATTGTTAATTTACTCAAATTACTCAAATCAGTAAGGAAAACTAATCAATTTTGGTATTTTCTAAAGGTAATGTAAAATTAAGTTATATTGATGTTTAACCACATAATTTTTAATTTCTTGGCTATTTGGTGTAAGTTATTTTATAATTTTCTTATATGTACAGTCTTTTTATGTAAATTTATTAACTTGAATCGTAAAAATCTCAAAAATTGTAAATTTTACATGCCAATCACACTTGGAACGAAAAATACTTGTAAAAGAATTTTCGTCTGCTCTTTAAATTCAAATTAACACCCTGATTAAACCTTGTCTTAGCGCCTGCGCCTTCATACACCAAATAACACAAAAAAGTAATTTGAGAAAAATGTTGATACCTTATCTGTAAGTTTTTTATTATAAATTATTAACATGAACACAATGTCTGCTTTTCTCGCAACTTTTAATGATGTCACTCTCTCATGGTTTTCAATATTTACAACTCAGTCAAATTGTAAATAAATTGAGTATACTCCTAAAGGATGTAAGGTTTACTAGTAAAATTATTATAATTTTCTAGTAAATTATAAATCTCGATGAAAGGATTTTGTTACATATACTTTTAGTTTACAATTAGTAAAAGTATGAAAGATGGGTTGTCTGTAAAAACTTGAATGGAATGTATCTTAAACAAATTAAAAAGATAAAAATTGAAATATATATACATATTAATATACAGTGGCGGCTGGTGGATTTTGGGCACAACCATATATCAGTTATTAGACATGGGACACACACCAAATGTATATGAGTTTATAATGACATTATATAGACAAGTTCTGCGCAAGCAAAATTTAAATTGAAGTTTGCGAAAAAAGTTATTTTTTAAGTGTGCCGCCAGCCTCCTGCCCCCCCAAATTAAGATTATTCAAATTAAAGTGGTAAAATATTTTCAAATTTTATTAAAAAATTTAAGAATTTTATAATATTTGAAATTTTTATTATTTCCTTTACTAAATTAAAAAAAATAGAAATGTTATAAAATCTGTAATATTTTTTTAATAAAATTTGAAATTTGTCGATAAACTTCAGTGAATCAAATATTGTACCACTTTAATTTGAATTATCTTAATTTTGGGGGGGGGCAGAAGGCTGGGAGGCACACTTAAAAACTAACTTTTTTACGCGAACTTGTTTATAATGTCTTTATAAAGTCATATAAATTTGATGATCTCGTGTCTATTAACTGAGATATGGGAGTGCCCAAAATCCACCAGCCGCCACTGTTAATATATAGGGCTGCAAGTAAAAAACTAGAAAAGATCTAAACCAAATTTAGTAATTTTATTTATTATGGTTTGTATAATATATATTCCAAATAACAAGTTAATAGGTTTTCTACATATGAGCAAAATTCTGATCTATGAAAAAGTGTATTCAAAACTTTACCCTTCTATGTTTTTTTAATATAGGCAAAAAAATGTAACTGCTTTGATAAAACATGTTACACCCTGTTATGGTACGTTATTTCTCTCTCATACTTTTATTATTGTTTTTCTTGTCGCCATTTTATCAAAAAACGTCTTTGGCTGTTTACACTTCACATGGAATTGTGGGCATTTCCGCTAGCTTTAACTTGACAACGGTCACCTCCCTATGTCAAGCGGTAGCAGTTCCAGTATTGCATGGCACCACAGGAACGGTTTGACATCCCATCACCGCCATGTTGTTTGCCATAAGACTGGCAACGCCGCACGATTTCAGTTCTGTAAATATTTCGGTGAAGTAGGCTGGCTCAGCATTGATTCGCAGCATGTTTGACGAGAGTCGGTTGACAATTTCGAGGCAACGGTCCCAGAAGCGGTCTTTGGAGTCCTCCACAAGGAAGGGTTTGAGTGGGTAGGAGATCTCATTACCCATGTATGAGTAGGATAAGTAGAGGCAGGTTAAGACTACGGCTTGAAGGTCTTGCTCGCAGTCGGTGTCTTCTTCGACCAGTTCTCGCACGAGCATGTAGACGAAGACTACGTTTGCTGGGTTTATAAAGGCGACATCCTGAAATTTTTTAAAAATGTTTTAGTTTTATGATTACAACATTTTTCATTAGGTGTCTTTTATGTTTTTATAGGTAAGTTCACAATCCACACAACAAGTTAACGGCGGCCATTTTTGTTGTTTACAACTCTTGTGCTTTGGGTTTGTGCTGTTTAATAATTGTTTTAAACGTTGTGTTTCTTACAGAGGCACTTGTAAGCCTCAAATAAGACCTTTAAGTGCTAAGGACAACTATTTTACTCCTCTTTTATAATAAATATACCTTATTCTATCAGGGCTGTCAAATGACAATTTGAAGGTTAATTTGTGGGTTATAATTTAACCTTAAAATTTACATTTGACAGTTTTATGACAGCCCTGATAGAATAAAGTTTATTTTTTACAATAGAGGAGTAAAATGGTTGTTCTTCGCACTTTAAGGACTCTTTTAAGGCTTACTATGAGAACCACAACGTTTAAAACAATTATTAATCTGTATAAACAGAGCACAAACCCAAAGCACAAAAATTGTGGCAGTGATTTTTTGTATTTTTAGTACGAGATAGAACAGACCTTGTTGTGTGGATTGTGGGTAAGTTAATTAAAGAAAATACTGTCTACTGTGGTTAATGTGACTTTTTAAGATATTTTTGAAAATTTATACAGAAAAGGTATATAAACATTACGTGAAATATTTGATAACCTGGCTGAACTCTATATTTTCTTATATTAATTTTTTCTAGTTTTTCAATTAACAACTTAATTTTAAGATTATTACCCTCGTACTATGCTTCACACTCAAAAGTCCCACCTTGGCATTTGAATACAAATAATTAAGGTTATCTTTCAACAAAAAATGGTTTGAAAAACACACTATAAGAGTTTTGTCAAGGCTTTTAAGTAGTCCAGACCTCAATATTATTGACACATGAAAAGTTATTTAAGAAATAATCCTCAAAGAACCACAAATGATTTAAAAATAAAATTGTCAGAAATGTGGGAATCTTTTACACCACATTATTGTAGATCCTTAATAAAATCCATGCCAGCCAGAATAAGAGCTGTTATAAAGGCCAAAGGAGATGTAACGACGTACTAAACTTTGAAATAAGTGGTCGTTCAAACTTTAGGATAATTTGTTAATTTTTTATAAATATATTTGGTTTATTTTTGTGTGCAATTTGTTTTTAAATAAAATCTAAATTTTGTATATTAAATATACTAAATTTTAGTCTCTAAGCGTGTAAAAACTAAAATATTTTAATTTTAAATTTAAATAATATTTCTTGAATGAATGAGAAATGAGTAAATGTTTCCGAAAATTGGTACGTCCGAATATTAAGTTGTTAGGGCTCGTAATAATAATAATAATTCAAATATAATAATTAGCAATGTTTATATGATGTAAGGTATATCTTATTTAGAGGTAAATTTATAATTTTTTATAAATTAACTATAAATAATAATAAACATCCTAGCATTACAAATAAAATTGTATTAATAAACAATAGGTACTTTACTATAATAAATTCAAAGAATATCATATTACATAGAATTTAAAAATGAAATTTTAATTGGATTGGTCTAAAATACCACTGCATTATCGATTTTCTTTTAAGTGCACAAATGACAGTCTAAATTGTGAATGCGTCACAATAAAATAAAATCATAACACAAAATTCCTTCATAAAAATAAAATGTCTGCTTCTACAAATAATAATAAAGCCTTAAACTACCACTAATAAAATTATTGTGGCTTTTTAATTATTCATTTATACCTCCATTTAATTTAATTTTTATTTTTATTGGTTAATCCAATACATTTATATGGCTTCAAGTCTTACATCAAACGATTTTTTAAGGGTTATTAATCTTTGATCGGCAGTACGACATGTGACAGGCGCCTTAAAACTCAATAAATCTCAAGCAAGGCAAACAAACTAAAAGGTCTCAGACACAAGCCATCAATAATAAACACCTGTCAATCAACTCAACTTAACCAAACAGTATAGATTTATTTATATTATTTACAGTATTAGCATTATCTAACATTTTGTACAATTGCTGCAAAGATGATTGTTTACACAAAAGAATAAGGTAGTAATCTGCCCTGCACCATGATACGAGAATCATAATCAGACGATCAAGACAAAGCACATGACTAGCAAAAGTTAGGCCCCCACAGCTAACTATTAACTTCCCAACCATATATACAGGTCTAGAGAATTCAGTGTCGAAACCGTACCAAAACGCATATATGGTAGGCCAGGCGAAACCGAGAAGTGCTACTTAAACTTCGGCATGTTGCTCATAAGAGAACAACCACATGATGTGGGCACAAGATACATACACCTTAAGATAGGATGGTGCGCATGTTGGGCGGGGCTTTAACTTGTTGAGTATTTTTTAATCTTTAACGTGCGTTTTAATTATCTGCTAAAATTCTTATTTTTGCGATGCTGTTGGATGTTAACTTGCTCTATTTTTTTGTTTAACTTGTTGATTTTGCGTTCGGTAAGGTTCGAATTACTTTTCAGTATTTAAATTATTGTTATTGCGTTGTGTTAACCTGTTCTCTTTGTTTATTATTGTTTTTGGGTTGCGTTAACTTGTTTTGTTTGTGTTTTAGTTTGTGTCGTGACATTTGCATTTATTAAAATGCGCTGTGGCATATTTGGATGCAATTCGTACAACCAGTCCAAGAAAAACCCTTTAAATAAAAATATTGAATTTCATCGATTCCCGAAAAACTTTGATTTGTGCAAACAGTGGTTAAATGCCACAAAAATAATAGACAATATTAACGTTAAGACCCCTTCTGTTTCCTATAAACATTTTCTTTACAGTGACTATAAGTTAATTTAAAACACTTACTCTTAAACTACAGCCCTAAATGTTATACTGAAAGCATCTATTATCCATATTATAACACTTTTTTCAATATTAAGTTTAATAAAAACGCACTGTCCAGATATTTCCTTGATAATATTACTATTATTCGTGTATTCGCACAACAACTACTCATCAAGTGACGTCATGCGCGGCACGAACCAAAACTCGTCCACGGGAGCATCCAGCCCTGCTTTACCAACATCTAACACACACAGTTAAGCAGTTGAAAGCGGGGGAAATCTGAGCGGGGGTACCAAATGCACTAGCGGTGGCCGTGAGAGACCATGCGGTCTATACGTTTTTTCATGTTCATGTTCATGTTTAAAAGGTTTTTTATCGGGAAATTAACGGATTAAATTTCATTGGCACGTTTGATAGTAAAGCTTTAAAAATTATAAATACATGAACATGAACATGTTCATGTTCATGTTTAAAAGATTTTTTATCGGGAAATAAACGAATTAAATTTCAGTGCCACGTTTGATAGTAAAGCTTTAAAAATTATAAAGGCGTGACTTCTATCTACTTTAAAATTACAAAGGGTTTATTTTTGACGCTGTAGTTTATACCTCGGTTTATACAATACGACCTTTTTATTTTATATAATAAAATATTTTGAATTTACATGTTTGTTCTAAAATGTTATGAATAATGTTATAAATTTTGCTTTATTATTTTTAAAATTCATCAAAATTTCTTAAATAGACCTTGAAACTTTTAAATTAAAATTAGTCATGTGTGAGCTTAAAATCAATTGAAAAGGTCGGCTGTCAAATGCTCTTTAGGTTTTAAATTAATGGATTGTATAGGTCATAAAATATCAAATCAGTATATTGGATTTTTGACATAATTATGGCTAAAAAATATAAATAATCACGTATTAAAAGCAGTAGATTACAGTAAATTTGTAACACGTCCATTTAAATTCAGACCATGTTCCAACAAAATTTTATCAATTTATCTTCCGAGAAGCTCGAAAACTCTTTAATAAATCAAGTATAACATGACTCATAGCCTATTTATAAAACGACACATGTGCAACTAGTTCAACTTTTGCTATTCATTTGAAGATGAGATTTTTAATTTTAACCCCGGAGCATTCGCCATTTTATGTCTAATGAATGTCTCAATAAATGTACCATTTTAAAGAATAAATCTGTATACTTATAATTCTTAAAATTTACAGGGTATTTCGTAAGAGCCTTAATTCTCAAAAATGTAAATTATTTGAAAAACAACGAAACATTTATAGTCTATGCAAAGTCAGTGTCAAATTGATAGTGCCCAAATTTCCTTGCTGTTTGCACTGACTGCATAGATTCACAATCCACACAACAAGGTCTGTTCTATCTTATGCTAAAAATACTAAAAATCACTGCAACACTGCACAGAGTTTAACGGCGGCCATTTTTGTTGTTTACAATTCTTGTGCTTTGGGTTTGTGCTGTTTAATAATTGTTTTAAACGTTGTGTTTCTTACAGAGGCACTTGTAAGCCTCAAATAAGGCTTAAAGAAGTGCTAAGGACAACCACTTTACTCCTCTTTTATAATAAATATACCTTATTTTATCAGGGCTGTCAAATGACATTTTGAAGGTTAATTTGTTGGTTATAATTTAACCTTAAAATTGAAATTTGACAGTTTTAGGACAGCCCTGATAGAATAAAGTTTAGTTTTTACAATAGAGGAGTAAAATGGTTGTTCTTAGCACTTAAAGGCCTCTTTTAAGGCTTACTATGAGAAACACAACGTTTAAAACGATTATTAATCTGTATAAACAGAGCACAAACCCAAAGCACAAAAATTGTAAACAACAAAAATGGCCGCCGTTAAACTGTGCAGTGTTGCAGTGATTTTTTGTATTTTTAGTACGAGATAGAACAGACCTTGTTGTGTGGATTGTGCATAGATTAAACAGTAATGAAATATCCCAAAATCTCATAAAAAAAATTGTTAAGTAGAGCAGAAATGTGGAAAACATTTGTAAAAAATTAAGAAAATTTAAATAGTTTGGCGGTACAGTGTAATAAACAAAATAAATAATAGTATATTATTATACGAGAGATAATGCAGGCTATTAGGATGAGGTTGGCATCTCGAGCCGTCAGGCGAGATACGTAAAGCAGCC